AAGGATTAAGGATGTTTTATTGCTAATTTGTTTGAGATTCACATAATCACAACATTTATTTAATTTCCTTTTTTTCACAGGTAAATGTTATTTTATGTAGATTTATTAACAGTATCATTTTTCAAAAAATAATACATTAAATACTTTTTTTAGTTTCAATTTAAATAGTAAAACTTTCTGTTTAGTGAACAGTACACGGATTACGTATTTATAAATTAATAAAACCTTTATTTAATTTTCTTTTTTCCCCAGATATAAAACAGAAGGTCTGAAAACTTTCTTTCCAACTTCCATTGCACTCTTCAGAGGACAATATCGAATCAGAAAGAAAGGCAATGAAAGTGTACAAGTCATACAGAAAATAAGTATTCTCCTATGTCAGGACTGTAACTTACTTATCTGTATTACTTGTTCAATAACATCACACAAAACACACATTGACAGCTTCCATAAAATATCAAAAATTAACAATCAACAAAAATCCATATTACAAGACTTTATGAATGAAACAGAAAACATTAAAATTCCAAAACTTCAAAAAGAAATCGCATCTGCCAGAAAAGAACTTTCAATGTATCAACCCAAAAAGACAATATTAAACAAGATGCCCAGAAAACCTGTACTTCACCATTTAATATTCAAAATATTCTCATTCGAAAAACAAAATTGCAAATATTTCCATTTTTGGGATCAGCGTTCAGCAAGACAGCGTTTTACTTTAAGTAGCATTCGGTTTAAAGGTCCCAAGGATTAAGGATGTTTCATTGCTAATTTGTTTGAGATTCACATAATCACAACATTTATTTAATTTAATTTTTTCACAGGTAAATGGGATTTTATGTAGATTTATTAACGGCATCATTTTTCATGTACTTTTTTTTATTTTTTTAGTTTCAATTTAAATAGTAAAACTTTCTGTTCAGTGAACAGTACCTGGGTAATGTATTTATAAATTAATTAAACCTTTACTTAAATTTCTTTTCCCCCCAGATATACAGCAGAAGGTCTGAAAACTTTCTTTCCGACTTCCTTTTTACTATTTGAAGGATAATATCCAATCAGAAAGAAAGGCAATGATAAGTGTCCAAGTCATACAGAAAATGAAGTATTCTCCTATGCTAGGATTGTAACATAGATAGTTGCCGTGAAATCTCTAAAATTTTAAAATCAACAACTAGACCACAGGTTTGGTTGATGAAGCAGACAACATTCAGCTTGTCTGCATAAAATACCATAGTGTTATGGCTCTAGACCCTATGATCTTTATTTATTTATTCATCTTTGTATTTATTTATTTATTCATTCCTTTTTTTATTCCAACAGAACCTGGGGTCCATTTACATAATTGATAACAATAATAAAGTAGCACATCACATATTAAAAACATACTCGGGTACGTATTGGTCAAATATCTAAACCATGCACCACATGCAAATGGGAAGAATATTCTTTAATACTCCAAAAAGAGACAATGGACTTGACAGCCGCTGATGATGCTGGTGACATCATCGACAGTGTTATAGACCTGCTAGTTAGAACATGGAAGACAGGATGGAGAATCCAGAACTGGTGTCTGACAGCCCTAGCTGTCCTCAACTTTGTACTGGCCCTGGAGTACTTACATTGCAATACAGCCATCAGCATGCTGTGTGAACATTTTAGTACTGACACGGACCAAAACATCACTGGAACGAGCCGACTTGAAGCCAACGTTTAAGAGAGAGATAGAGAGATTCAATAATCCATTCCCATCACCTTAAGATCCTGGCTTTCAAGAGACATGGAATTATTTGTTATTTCTCTTTATATTTATTCATTTTTATTTCAACTGACTAGGGGTCCAAGTTGACAAGAGTCATAGAGACAATGGACTTGACAGCCACTGGTGATGCTGGTGACATCATCGACAGCGTTATTGACCTGCTAGTTAGAACATGGAAGACAGGATGAGGAATCCAGAACTGGTGTCAACCTTGGCTGTCCTCAACCTTTCACTGGCCCTGGAGTACTTACATTGCAATACAGCCATCAGCATGCTGTGTGAACATTTTAGTACTGACACGAACCAAAACATCACTGGAACGAGCCGACTTGAAGCAAACGTTTAAGAGAGAAATTAAGAGATGCACTAAATCATTCCCATCACCTTAAGATCCTGGCTTCCAAGAGAGACACGGTGACGATGATGTACCCAGGAATTGAACATCTGCTTCAAATAGCTGAAGTGATCATATCATTTCCACCTCTGGGAGTGTAAAACAATAATTTCAAGACACTTGATCGGGGCCAGAGGACACTAATAATCCACGAGCACAAAATAAAATTCTGCTAGCCCGACAGCTACAAAATCAACATGATCAAATGATCTATATATATATCACATTCACAGATTGATATGTTTTCCTTTAAAAATACAACTCACAAAGTAATTTTATATTATAACTGAATAACTAAATGCCTTTTAAGTTATTAAATTTTGAACAACAAAAAATTAAACAACTTTTTTCGACTCCTACTGAAAATTAGTTCAGATATTGGAAAGAATAAAAAATATAAATGGCAGACTTTCCAACTTTTGGGAGAGATGAACTTTATTTCTGTACCCAACAGGCTTATGTCAAATAAAAGAGAATAATTTGGAACAAAGTGACCATGACAGTGGTTAGCTAGTATAGACTTTTATGTTCGTTGCAGAAATAGCACTACCGAGCTAATTTTTGTACTTTCTGATATGCCAGGTCAAATAAATATTCTTGTATCTTTCACTACTTTTCTAATACGACACCTCGTATCATCAATATGGCATGGATAAATCCATGTGTTCCAATAGATATATATTGCAGTGGAAATTACCAGGAGTTTATAGGTTTATAATGTTAATTGGTTACCCTCATGATGATATGATTGAAATGAAGCATTATTCACTAGCCCAAACTAGTAGGTCTCTAAATTTCACTAGCCCAAGCTGAAAATCTGCTAGCCTCGGGCATCGGGCTAGTGGATGTTTACACCCATGATACATGTGCTACACATGCATGTATAAAATAGATGACAGTGTAGCATGAAGGGCATGTTCATGGAAATTCTATTTATAACTAGATAGCATTCCATCCCAGGTACGTACTGGTCAAATATCTGAACCATGCACCTGATGCAACTTGGGAAGAATATTCTTTAATAATTTTAATTATCATAGACAAAGCTTAACTCTGACCTAGGCTAGTGTTTAAAGGTCACATCTGAACTAAACACAAACTAATACATAAGAAGAAGAAACCCATTGCTGGTCTGGATAACATACCCAAGTATAATGGCTCCAGATCTTATGGTTCTTTAATTATTTATTCTCTTTCTATATTTATTTATTTTAATTTCAACTGACTAGGGGTCAAAGTTGACCCGAGTCAAAGAGACAATGGACTTGACAGCCACTGGTGATGCTGGTAACATCATCGACAGTGTTATAGACCTGTTAGTTAGAACATGGAAGACAGGATGGAGAATCCAGAACTGGTGTCTGACAGCCCTAGCTGTCCTCAACCTTTTACTGGCCCTGGAGTACTTACATTGTACAAGGTCATGTGTTTAAGAGAGAGATGCACCAATCTATTCCCCATCTCCCGAAGACCCTGGCTTCCTAGAGAAACACAGTGAGGATGATGTACCCAGGAATTGTGCAGCTGCTTCAAATAGCTGAAGTGATCTTATCATTTCCACCTCTGCTGTGGAAATAGTATTTTCAAAGGTACATCGGACATTATTGTACTACATAAGAACCATATACCTTATGCAACTTTAAATAGAATATTTTTAAATTCTTCTACCTAGTATAGTCAATCTTTACTTTTGACACAGGCTAGCTGCTTAAAGGTCATCTTTGACCTTAACACAATATAAGAAAAGATTCACATTGCTGGTCTGCATAACATATCCAGGAATTATTGCTCCAGACCTTACGGCTATTTATTTATTATTTATTAATCATTTCATTTTTTTAAATTTATTTTTTGTTTCAACAGACCCGAGGGTTCCTTTACAGTATTGATAACATAAATATAGCAACATGCCAAAGATAAAGACATACATCTACTATTTTTAGATAGGTGATAGTGTAGCATAAAGGGCAGGCTCATGGAAATTATTAAAAACTTTACAGCATTCTGTCCCAGGTAACTACAGACTAATTATCAGGAACCCAGATTTTCCAGTTTCCAAGAAGAAATGGATTTTGAAAAATGTTGACTGAAGGATGATAGACGATGGATAATACACCATACCATAAGTTCACTGGCACTTCAAGCAAGGTGAGCTTAAAATGGTCCCCAATTAAATTTGAATTGTACATTCAAGTCTTTATACTAACTAGATTCCTACAGGTAATGTCTAAAGTCTGTTAGGCCAAAACAAATTAATTACTTGGTTTTCAGGCCCGCGCACATTTCATTTTAGGGCACCGCATTGCAGATTTTATCGTGAAAGTAATAAAAAAAATATGTGAATGCGCCAGGAAATTGATATACAGGCAAGCGTTGAAACGATTATGACTTACTAACCTCGTGTATAAATGGCGCTCATTTCCGTAAAAATAAGGAATGATTCCCTGGAACATCGTGGGGGGATTTTCGGAGGCTTGCTCCATGACGGATCTCTACACAACTATTAAAAACGGTAACATCGATCTGGGAAAGTGGTCGCTCCCAGATAAACTCCGTTCTGCTAAAGTATCTGTGTGTGTTGGGCGACAAAAAACGGACACATTTGACAAGGTAATACCCAAAATGAACGTTTTACAAACTACACGGTTGTCGGTAATTACATTCGATACGACATAGTACCGTAAGTGATACTTTAACTGAAAGGACATGTACACTCTCCGAAAAAGAGATGGAATAAAAAAAATCTCCCTCGTCTCATTTTTGCGTTTAGAATGATTTTTTTTTATCTCCCTGCCTCATCTCTTTTGAAAATTAATGGCCTGAGAACCAAGTAATTAATTTTTTTGGACATATAACTTAAAATAAATACAAAACCAACTATCATTACAAAACTAAATCTTTGAAAATAAATTATGTTAGTCGTCAGATAAATGTGTAAATCATTACACCAATCATCTCACTGCTTTTGTCTTCACTTTTGGTTTTAGTTCAAAACGCACAGAGACTTTACAGGAGACAGTGACTGTGCTATCAGTCAGTCGCTGTTGGACTGTCTTTGTATTCTCAATATCTGTGGGTGTGTCCTGAGATCCCTGCCACTCCCTTGTCTCCTCTTCGGCTATACTGATTGGCTGGCCAACATTCTGATGCACAAACTTTGCCATTTCCTGAGCTTTCAACTTGGCATTGTGAATAGCTAATAAACTTGCTTGTTGCCTGCAAACACAAACACAGAAAAAATATATCAGAAAATTATGAAGTCAGGAAATAATTTCATGAAGAAGCATGGATATGAAAGAATCCATATAATCTTTATTAAATATTTGTTTTATCTGTGCTTCATACTGGTATAACAGTAATAATAGTTAAAACACAGTAAGAGCTATAACCCCTGAGTTCAAAGCGCAGCAAACAGGATTTGTCAAAGATGCAAAAACTGCAGCTAGTCTGAATTGAGCTTGGCATTTCTGTCTGTATTACTACACTACAATATGTTACACTGCCCCATCTATTGTGTAGTAGGACAAGAGTGATAAAGATAGTGCCGTCACTGGGGCTCGAACCCGTGACCCTTGGCTATCCAGCCTGATGCTCTACCTCTGAGCTAAAGGGAATTCCTTACAGCTGATGCTTGTAGTGCAACCTAATCAATCCACATCTTTTACAATTGAATGGATAAGTAGAATGGTATCTACAGTTTGAATGCTATCAGTCATGTAACATCAAATTGAATACCGTAGATTTTGCATAGTGGTAGATGCATGGTAGAACTCTGGAAGACACACTATTACAGTCTCATCAAGCTTCTCAACCAACAGGTTGGCAACTGTCTGGCATTTGTGTTGATCTGCAAATATAGCTTGAATCTCAGCCTCCATACAAAAAAGTCCTTCCACTCTTCTGATTGTTTTGTATATCTTTATATCCGACTCCTGAAAATGAAAATGTCATTTACTGCTTTGTTTAAGCTACCTTCAACGTAAATAAGTTCATGATTTTGTATACCATACATACTGTACTGTATGTATATAATGTTTGTGATGTCAATGATGGCTGCCTTGACAACATGTCAAGGCATGCACCTGTTACTATAGGACTATATATCTGTTTGCAATTTTGAAACCAGGATTAATAAGAGATATTCCATCATTTCTGTCATTAATTTCATCAAGTAAAACTACGAAATGAAAAAGTTGTTTCCGACAAATTATTGGTAATAGAAATAGTTGAAATGTACTAAATAACGTTATACTTCCTCTACTCAGGTTGAAAAAGGTGCAAGTAAAATTATATAATTCACGTTGTTTAAATTATTGTACAACTTAGGTTACCTTTAATGAGTGGTTATGCAGAGTTTGTAAAACGTAGTCCACACGTCTGGTGATGCTGGCTTTTACTTCATCAACGTTCTCCTTTTGTGATTGGATCCGTACTGTCAACTTACATCTGTCGGGTGGCAAACTCACTTCTCCCACAGCATTAACTGTAATGTGTCGATCTGATACTTTGGCATTTGTTAAAGGTGTGATATTCTCAAAATTAATATCTTCCATCTTTAATTGTTTCCGTGGAGGACTTGAAACAGATGCAAACACATGAGAAGGTGTGAATCCCGCCATCTCTCTGATCAGTCAGTCTGGGCGTTTTGGTTGCGTTTTCCGCGTCCAGACATGTTTTTGCCGTTTAAGTAAAAGAAAATTCATTCCCACTTCACCAGTAATATACTTTTTAATTTGATTAATCTTTATTTCAGTGTTCTATTTTGCATTAAAGTACCATTATTATTCATTATCTTTGCTAGAAGAATGTTGAACTATTAGAAGATTCATTTGATATTTTGTTTTCTAAGAACGGAAGCGGTGATCGGAAGTGGGATTCCCCCAAGGTGTTTTTTATTCGCCTCGTCCTGTCAGTTATTCATATTTCGCCGATATGGCGTCCAAATATGGGTCCAGGCCAACGGGTACTGATGGGAGTGACTTTTGGCATCGTGAGAGTGTAGCATGGCAGTACAAACAAAGGTATATGGTGTTTTTTGCACTCTTAAACAGGTCTCGTAATAAAATGGTCGTGTAATGTGACCCAGGCCACATGGACACGTTGCATTGGCACAGTTACCGACACAGTCATGTTTAGATACCTTACATCCTTCTACTTGCATGAAACTCATTATCATTAAATTAATTTCATTTATATCAATAAATTAAACGAATTTGAAATATTTGAATAATTACCGTATAAGTAATTTGATAGGTAAACATGTTCTATGTTGTGCATTTGTTTACATTTCTGTTAGAATGTTTATGAATCTGCTATGAGTGCAGGCAAGCTAAGGCATTGCCTGTTGCCAGTGCCAGTCGGGGAGTAAATAGTCGATAGTGTGTGTACGGTTGCATATGTATGTATAATGCTGGCTGAGGAAACCCAGCAGCCGTGTATCGACGCTGTACCACTTACAGGCTAACAGAAGCACCAGAGAACAATTCACCGTATCATTACATGTATAGTCGGAGTGTGTATGTACACGTGTGTATGGTTACAGCGCTGGACCTGGACTCTCTGTATTGTATCTTGGGTCAGAGGTAGTAACTTGTTACATGTGGAGCTGCATCAAAAGCATATAGATATGACTCTCTTTGTGGACCATGTGTAAGTTGATGTGTGTTAGCCAGTAATATAATGTGTACCGATACATCGGTACATTAAACTAAATATTTGCTTATTTTTTGTCGCCATGCACAAAGTGTAGTTTAAGTTGAACCACATAAACACAAAACTAATAATTAAATTTACATAAAAGTTGTTATTCATGTTGACACATGTACATGTACAGATGTGTACATTGTAGATGTAAGATCAGTATTATAATTTCAATCATTAATTAATTGGTTGTGAATATCTATTTAGTCATTAGACTGTCATTCGATTGTTAAAAGGGCTTTCAACTTCAAGAGTTTACTGAAAGCCCTGTACAATTAATGTATTTTGTCACATTTTTCAGTAGCTAGTCACTGTGACCTATATGCAATGACCTTTGCCAGCTTTGAAAAGGTTTGACAGGAGTATATCTTCTATACTGTTTCACTTGGAGTTACCAGATCTGGTAAACAAGTACATCTTGGGATCACAGAATGTGGAGTATCAAAGGTCCCTGTTACTCTGTGGTGTAAGAAAATATACATTGTAGTAAAAAGTTGAAAAGCACTTGCCCCAATACTTGCCAACCCTCCCTATTGAAGAGGGAGACTCCCGATTTTAGACCCTGAAATTGAACATTTTAAAAAACAATCATGGGGGAGATTATGCATGCTCAGAACTGAAAGCATAAACAACATGTGTGTATGTACATCCTAGGGAAAAAATAACACTTTTAAATGACAAATTTGGAGCTGTTCTTTCAGATGAAATCATCAGATCTTTAAAAATAGGAATAGCTTTAATAAGCAAATTTACTGGTTGAAAATACATTGGTCCAATGTGCATTGGTAATAAAATTGAATTGAATTGAAAGTACACTGACCAGTAACACATATTAGCTTAATTACACTCTACCACGCTACTTTCCAGGGTCTCTAGGGAAATTAGGTAAAGATTGACTGGTTTTGTCACCTAATTGCAGTATTATTTTCCTTATTCCAAATCTGGTCAGAAGTATAAGATAGGGGTACCAGACTGAGTCCTATATGCCTTCAGATGAATCAAATGGTAAATACTGCGGTGCAGAAAGACAATCCATCTCAAAGAGGGATAGTTGACATATATATGTACACCCCTCTGGCCTGTGCTTTGACTTAAACCTCAAAAATGTCTGCATCATACCGGTACCTTCTATTCTGTTTCACATGAAATAAACAAATTCACTATACAAGTACATGTACATCTTATAAGGGCAGAGTGCACCAGTGCTTTTTTAATTTAACAGACCTTTATGAATTGGGAAAATATAGCATTATTCGTATTGAAATTGGGAATATATAACTCAGTTTTTGGTCATTTTGGGAAAATAAGGCACTTTTTAGCTAGGGGAAACAGAAAAGTGAAAATGAGAATGAAAAGTGGGTTACTGTGATGTATGCTCTCACCTCAGTCATTGAAAAAGATTGTCATATTTTATTTCACCTGGCTGGACTTACCAGATTTGGTATGTAAGTACTTCTTGGTATGGTCATTGGTGGAGTGTAGAGGATACAAAATAGGCCACTGTGACCTACACAAATGTATGCATTGACCTTTGAATTTACTGTTTGAAAAAACATTCTGCAGCATATCTCTTACTATTACGCCAGGACAAACCAAATTTAGAATGCAAGCGTATGATGATGGCTGAGTGCAGTTAATGAAAAATAGATCACTGTAATATGGATGTATGCTTTGGTCTTATCTTCTTAAAAAAAAATCCCTGGAGTAACCAAATTTGGTATGTAGGTATATCCTCAGATGACATATTTTACTGTACCTAAAGCAGGTCACTGTGACCTTTATTTTTACCTCTGACTGAAGTCTTGGGGAAAATGTTTTCTTATTCTGTATCAGGATACTTTCTTCCTAATAGGCTGATCCTGTAATAGCTGTAGGTGTACAGCATGGTAATAAAGAAAAGATTTACTGTTGGGGGACTTTGGATTGCCTTGAAATACATTGCCCTACTTATTTATAGAATGACATGCATTTTCATCAGGAATTCCAGTAATTTGGGTATTTTTACATTCATTAAAATGAATATGGTTGCAATAAATTCATTTTCTGGGGAAACTGGGTTGAATATTCATATAGAAATTGTTATGGTCATTTCTTGTGTATGTATAGAAATTGTCAAAGCTAAGATGATTTGTTTTCTTCACAATTATCAGAATTGCCAGGAGAACTCTCTGTTATACACTTTGGCATGATGTAGAAATACATCTGCATTAGGAAATAGCACCATGAATAGGCTAGATCAATAGATTTCTCTGGCACGCATCTACAACAACACCAGCTGACGTTATTGGATTATACAACACATTAATTGATATTGATGGCAATAAGCCATGACATATTTTCATCTTCATTTGTCTATGAATTTCTCAATGCTTCCCGTGTCCTATCCATCAAACATACTGAAGAACTTGATACTTGTGCAATGTCATCAAATTTTACATGATTTATTGGTGACGGCAACTTGAAACAAAGTCATTAAAAATCATGTCATCTGTCTGAAGAACTTTATTCCTTTTGTCATTAAATATCATATCATTGACAATAATATTCGTGTATAAATGTTATTATCCCCTCGCAATGAAATTTCGAGAGGATATAGGATTCAGTATGTACGAATGTACGTATATACATAATTTCTATTATATTACACTCTTTGTCATCACTCTAGCAACTTCATTTCACAACAGAAATTCGTGAAACTTCATACAAGTGTTTGGTATGGAAATGCTTTGAACAAGTTCATGTTTCCGGTTTCTACATTGAAGGTCAAGGTCACTGTTACTATTTTTAGAAAAAACTTTGCCATCGCTCTACTGTCTACATTCCTGAAATTTCATGAAACTTGATACAAGTGTTTTGTATGTCAATACCTTGAACACGTTCGTGTTTTGGGTTTAATGTCAAAGTCACTTTTACTAATTTTAGAAAAACTTGGTCATTGCTCTATCGACTTCAATCCTCCATGGAATTTCATGAAACTTGATACAAGTGTTTGCCACGACAATAACTTCAACAGATTAGTGCAGACATATTTTTGCTGTCACGTTTATGTTGAATTTTTCTCAAGATGTTTTTGCCTTTTTACAAAAATATTATCCATTGAAGAAAGCAGTTGCTAGAGCAGATAACGATACATCATTGAATTTTCTATTCATTTCCTCATCCATATGTCACACAATGTGTGAATGCGAGTGTAATTGCATCACTTGTTATGCCTTGTTGTGATTTTAGAGAACACTTAACGTTTTGTAGAATTTCCAAATTATTGGAAACAAATTGGGTCTTCAATGTTTAAACATACATGATAGATATTGAGGACAACATTAGTTTAATATTGCCTACCAAGTGTTTGTCCATCTGTTAAATTTTCGCACTTGCCTTTCACCAAGGTTCGATTCCCTGATCGGATTTGAAAAGGTATGGGGTGATCTGCCCGACCATGTGGGTTTTCTCCGGGTACTCTGGTTTCCTCCCATATTTAGACCCTCCGTGTGCTAACATCCGGGCCAACAAGAGTGATTAATATAAGTTGAAATAACATGTTTCATAATTGTTGTAAAATAAATAAATTTTATATATATATAAAAAGCTAAATATTTTCTCAGAAGACTGTCAATATGTACAACTCTTTTTATTCAAAGTGTCACAGATTCATTCATGATCAACCAAGATTACAATTGGAGGTCTGCAAAAGCCAAAATAACATTATGGTTCTTGTCTCCAGCATGACATTTTAACAGCTAATTACTTTCTCATCAAACTTACTGAATATGTAAGCTATTTTAGACTGTATGTCACATCCCAATTATGTGTTCCTATTGCTAAGGTCAAGGTACGTTACTTGCAGCAGTCAAAGTTCAAATATATATGTTTTATTTCTTGTAAAGGATTTGTGAACTATAGACAGTGTATATATAACCATCCATAGATATGCATATCCTATGTTGAATGTCATGATAAGGGGCATCCTTGATATCCAGGGGTTATGCTCACTTTCGCTCTCTGTAGCTCTGGAATATGTCATAACAAAATTGAAGGCATGCGGCTAGTTATTTGATTGGTGTCAGGTAAAAAACCTGACCAATCACTAGGCTGATACTTGTACTTTGAAGATTACAGAGGAGCGTCGCCCAACTTCAAAGCCAATAAGTTTTACCATTACGCGACTGCAAGATTCTTTTTATGTACATCAAAGGATCAAACTAGTCTTCTCGTCTTATTCATAAGGTGGGGCACACTAAGCCTTTGATTTTGCTATGACATATTCCAGGGTTGCAGAGATCGAAAGTGAGCATAACCCCTGGATAAAGCGGATGGGTAAGGGGTTAAAAAATCATCATTTTAATTATAGTTCGAGATTTTTGTTGCTTTTTATACTGGATATATGTAGGGAAAGATATTCCCATGCACAGTCGTAATCATATCTTTACTTGTATTGGTGTGTTATATTCATTATTAGGTCAAATATATAAATGATGTAGAAGATTTCATTGATGCTTAATATTGAAATATTTCTTTTTATTTCAGTTCACTGAACAAATCCCGCCTGAAAATCGTGCTAGTATTAGAGGTACTAGTATGTTTGATGTTGGTGGTGCGTCTCCTGCCAGGGATGACTGCTTTCTTAGGTCTGGGGATATTTGGCCGACTAAAAACCTGGGACTTTCCTGCTCCACGTCCTTGGGAATATATCTGGATGATCAACCTCATGGCAGGCGTATTAGGTCTCAAGTCACTCCCCAAGAATGACATACCTCTTTTGAGGCAGTATGTCATAGGAACAGTAGTTTTCGGAATTTGCCCTGTAGTCTATGGTATTTTTGATCAGATAGATGATCTATATGCATACTTGAATGAGAAAAAGTCAATTGGAACGATTCAGGGCTTCCCAGCAGTGATCGTCTGGTTTATGTTTCTAACCATGGCCATTCAGCTCCATGGATTTGGACTATATTTTGCAAGACAGTTACATAAATCTTGGAAGCCAAGATTGGATAAGAAGAAAAATTGAAGCTAAAGACATTTATTGTTCATCAATTTTACAAGTGTGCTTGTTCTATTTGTCAGTTTGAAATTGTGTTTGTTAATTTGTTTAAAAGTAAGAGCATTTCTATTCATAGCACTGGCATATTTTTATATACAGTAGAACCTTGTTAATTTAGACACGTTTAGTTTCTGCTAAATCTTCCAGAACAAGGTACTTCCTGTACATTGTAATATTTGTCTCAGTTACACTTTTTTCTACTTTCATCCTCTGTTAATGAGGGCAAATATTCACCATGACAGCTGCAGTAACTGCAACAGTGCAGAGGCTGAGCAAAATTAACTACCGCATGTTAAATATGGATTTTACCTGTGAAAGGAATTACATTGGATGAAAGTTTCTGGTACAATATTCACTATGACAGTAAAATTAACTACCGCATGTTAAATATGGATTTTACCTGCGGAAAGAAAGTATAATTAAATTGGATGAAAATTTCTGGTACTCAGAAATACAAATTCCCTTTAAAAACGCAGACATTCAAAACATTAGGGTCTGTATCGACAGGGTTCCACTGTTACTAGAAATACAGTATAACAGTGGTAGGGACACATATGTTCTTGACACCTGCCACTTAAATATCAACCAAGCCAGTAGTTTTCCATTGTGTATGATACCAGGTATATATATATATGCTCACCAAACCATTCCAGCCTGGTACACTCGGGGAGAGTCAGCTGGAAAATCTATCCCTTGTTTCCTCATTTGGTACCATATTTACAAGGTGTAATGTGTATAGTATTTGCCTGTGTGTATAATTACTTCAGTTTTATTTATCTGTTCCTATTAAGTTTGTCATGAAATGTGAATTTTGGTGCATTTTGTATTTAATTGTTAGACAACCTTCTTCGATCGTTCTGTCATTGATTTCCATTGTAATTATTGTATTGTAAAGCAGGAAATAATGTGTTGTTTAGAAAAAAAATCCTTTTTTATTTCTTGGTAGGTTTTTTTTAAACAAAATTCTACAGCACTGTATCTAGGTATACATTGAGTCCATGCTCTCTCAATGTATAATGTTCATAGATTTTTTGCAGCACAAATATAATTTAAAAATTTCATGTTGAAAATACATAGTTACATGTGATCATGAATTATGTTCTCACCTGCCAATTATCCAAAAAGTCCATTCCGCTGAATTCATCCAGATTAAATTGAATGCTAAGCAATTACATCTTCCAAGGTCAAATACAAGAAGCACATATACTACATGTACCAGTATCGAATCTGTATGTTAATTGACATTAATACACGTATATGAAATCTTAATTTTTAGACCTTATAGTGCTGGTGATGTAGTGGGGCCTGGCTTCCAGCAACTGACAGTACTAAACCAGCATTTTTAACTGGCGATGATATAGGCAGAAGTATTGAATGTGGCCGATCAGAGTTGTGGAATTTCTAGGATTAGGAAATAAACTGAAAACAAATTATGATAATATCAAATTGTGAAAAGAATATATATTGATATTTTGTGTTACCTAAATCAAAGTAGAAATAAAGACAATAAAATAAAATAAATGTTCATCAATCTACCAAATATCCTTTGTGAAATCTGTAGGCTTGTCATATTGTAGGATATGGTCAGTGATCCATGGTTACCCATTCCGTTTTTGTGTATTGCAGAGTTATCTTCTCTTGGGAGCAGGTATTGATTGTTACATCATTGGTCTGTGTGAGAAAATTACGTCGTTTTCTCAAAAATTGATGACGTTTCTCTCACAAACAAGTGTGGTAACAATCAATACTGCTCCCAAGAGAAGATAACTCTGCAATATGCAAAGACGGAATAGTACACTGTAGACTGTTGTTACTGGGTGTACTGCTATTTGTGTTCATTCTGTCCTATTGTCTATTTATGAACTGTTAATGATCATGATACTGATGCTGTGTGGTTTATGTATAAGTTATTTTTGCCCGTTGTAGTGTGTGTGGTTGAGTATTGTGTTGTATGTGTATATCATTATGCTTTGAAAGATTCTTGTCCGTGGTTTACTTATATAAATTGCTTATGTTATTGTGTCAGTGTAGTGGTAAATCAACATTTCAAAACTTTTTTCCTGAAATAGAAAATTTATTTGGAAGTCAAATTATTTTAACAAAAAATACTAAATGAAAGAAGTTGAAAATAGTTACAAGTATTTTGTTGTTGTTGTATTTTAGTAGTAACCATATTTTATATGCAAACCACAATAAGGTTCACACAAAAATGATCATATGTACGTCCATGTAACTGACTTTGTTGTCATCACAGGGACATGAGAATTAAGACACAGTACATGTGGTTCAAACATAAAGTTGTAATGTAGCTGTGAGTCGCACAACAAATTCAATGAGTGAACTAAAGAAAACTTGAACACTATATAAAGCATTGCCTTTGCCTTGTTGTACTGATTGTTAGTAGTGTATTTCTAATCTTGTGTTAATAATTCTTGTTCGAGATTTAAAATTGTTTCAGAAATATTGCTCAAGTTACATCATGTTCAGGTGTTTGAACATACCGATATACGCAACTACAAATGTTAGCTGTATATGGTTAAAACACTGTTTTACAGAGGAGTCTGTGGAAGAGAATCGGTACTTGGAACAGAGTTTCTTGTAGTCACAGCAACACATTAGTTTTATACAATGTACAGGACTTTATCTGAAATATATGCTAATGGTATGATTTCCTGTCTTTTACCACAGATAGAACGGTCAAAGAAAACTGTTTATTTCAGGGGTTTTTCCCCCCATTTTACTGAGACAAGTAATGGAACCATAGCATATGAAAAAAAATCATTTCATATGGTTTCATGTCGCCTATGAATAAATCAGTCATTGGAATTTCATAAGTTCTGGGAGCTTACAATATTGATATCAACAAATGTTCCAACTATACCTAGTTTGAAAACGATTCAAAAGCATTTAAAGTAATTATCAACAATCCTCAATTTCTTTATCAGCTTTACAATTCTGTGTCTATGCAATCAGGAAAGTAATGTATGAAATTCTGTTTTACTAGATTGCAGATTATCTATATTTTTATGGAAAATCTTGAATTTCATTTTTATGTAAAATCTTTTTATGCATTTACGTAGATGATGGTAGATTTTGTGAATGTGACTAAAAGTACTTTGTGGTTGTGTTGACTGTAAACCATTGTGTTCATAATATTTTTTTTATTTTTTGTGTGCAATATAACTTGTTTATTGAATTTGATGGGCTACAGAAAATGTGTTAAATCAAATTAAATTAATGGAGTTTTCACATAGGAGGAAAAAGAAAAAAAAATGTATTTCAGACTACATTTTTGTTAAAACCCCAGCAATCAATTAAGTCCCTTTTTGTTTGTAATGAATGCCATTAACTTCGCCACTTTTTACCAAAATGGACTCATCCAGATAAATGTATGGTAGAGTCTACTAAAGTTACCTAGGAGTGAAAGGGTTCATATGAAATCATATAAATCAGTTTTTGCTTAATTTAGTTCATGTCCATATCATTGTAACAGACTGCTGGTTACATGTCTAATTTCAATTTTGCTGCTGTTCCTATTTTCGCTTTGTACAATTGCAAGAGCAGGCCCTGACCATGTTGGTAACAAAATGGAAGGTGGTCCAGATGCTCATATACATTTCCTTTGTACGGAAGTTTTCTGTATTTCACTCAGGAAAATTTGACAAAAATGAAGAGAATAAAATACATAAGTAGCTATACTAACATTGTTTTTTAAGTATGGTAGCAGGGCATGTGTCTTCTTAGGTTGGTTAGTTTTCTTGTACTAAGAGATAGCAGAGTATTTCATTGATAATCTCATATAGTGCCATTATGTTTTCGAAAAAAAAAAGCAATGTGTTAAAAATCAAATAGTAATATTTGTCTTTCGAGCATAATCAAGTTTTATAAAGGTTTAAGTTTCGACACGTTACTTACTATGTAGGTTCTGCCTATTTAACAACTTCAAGTAAAGAGATACCCGGTAGTGCTCTTTCAAAAACGAATGTTCTTGTCAGATTACGATATCACAGAACCATTCTGAATTATAACTTGTCAAAATCAAGTTGATTTATTTAACCAGTTAACCAAGTGTTGTCCTACACCATAAATACTGTCGGATGACTACTTACCCCAGAAACATGTTTATTTGGAAACACATGTTATCTTATTAAATTGAATTGTTTTCCTGGAAAACTGTGCTAATGAAAGGAAGGATTGTTTGTGGTGCAATATAGTAGCATGTGTATTTAAAGAGGACACTATACTTTTCTAGTTTCACAATTTTCTGCAAATTAACGGAATAAAATTGGAAGTTTCAACCCCATTTTGTAAAAAAAAAAAAAAAAAAAAAAAAAAAATTAAGTCAGATATTGGTTTAGTTAATTTTTCAATGGTAGCTATTAATGAAAATTCAATATACATAGAATCAGACTTTAACACAAAACAAAAAAAAACACAAAAAAAAGGTTTGCAGAAACTTGTCAAAATGGAACCAGTTTGTCAATAGGTAGCACATTTGTTTTGGTTCACTCGATCTCAAAAGCAATGGATCTACAACTACCCTTTCACATGAAGATCAATCATGTATATTATAGATTGTTTTTATCTTACCATACATCCTAAGCTATATGTTTTGATCATTAAACTTTGTTACTATCCTTAACTTTTGAATAAAATTTCTCCCAGTGATTTCATCTGTGTTGTTAAGTTTTTAACATTTTATGAAGTTTATACTGAGCGAAGTTAGTGCTCCAAATATGGGGGGGGGGGGATGGTTTCAAATTAATGCTCAAGTTAGTACAATTGTTTTGTAAATCAGCGATTTTTTTTCTCATTAAAATATTAAACCTACTCGTGATTTCTAGATTATGCTTTAATTCAAACATTCAAAAATTAAAACATGGCACATAAATGATTTCATCAATTTTCTGAACAATCATTGGTTCTTTTAAATCACATGACGTATATGTATCACATGATTCAAGAGTCGGAGATGGCTACCAGCATTTAGCACCATTGGTTTCATTTTACATCGTAACCACTGCCCGTCCTATTCGGAGCTTGTCAAGTTGCATCATAGCATCTACTGCTACGTCCAGTGTGAATTCCTTAGCTATTTTACACCTGTACAAAAGTACAAAAAACGGGGTGAGTCTAGCATCTACTCCAAGCAAGTGAAACCTTCATCTATGTCATGCTGTGCTATAATGACAACAATATGAATTATGTTTTGTTACATGTACACAAATAACTTTCAAATAAATAAATAAATGAAAACGCCGAGAAACTCAAGTTTTATACTTGACACATTTGAATCTGTCAAGTTTAACCTTGGGAGTATTTTGATACCCTGCATAAATTCAACATTCATTTATGTAATACTGTAAGCCCATTTATAAAAATTACCAATACCCTTGTCATCCTCTATAACTTGACAATATGCTGTGTCCCACAGGGTGTTGTATTCAACAGGTCTCACTGCATTGACAATTTTGGTTGATACAATTTTTGACTTACAATAAAGTAATGTTATTAACTAGGTAATATAATTGGAAAACAATATGCTGTGTCCCACAGGGTGTTGTATTCAACAGGTTTCACTGCATTGACAATTCTGGTTGATACAATTTTTGACTTACAATAAAGTAATGTTATTAACTAGGAAATATAATGGGAAAACAATATGCTGTGTCACACAGCTCTATATTTGGGACAAAATTAGAAATACAGTTAAATGTTTCAGATACATACTTAATAACTCCTTTCTCCAACTTCTCTACAGCATCATGTAGTATATCTAATATATAGGTCAAGGACAGTAAGCAGTATGTTTAAGCAATTATGGGTTAATAAAGTTACGAGTGATGGTGACAAAGTAACGATGTTGCCAGAAATGACATTCCCGTAGATACTAGATCCATAACCCTTTCACCACTATAGACCATAATGGACTTACCCAGATCAATGCATGGTAGAGTTTATCAAAGTTAGATTGGGGTGAAAGGGTTAAATTGTACTTGGTTGAGTTATGGCTGTACTTTTTCCATGTCAATAACCTATTGATGACCAGCTGTATTTTTTCCATGCAAATGTGCTACCATCAATTCATTTGCATGAACATTCAACCTCCAATTGAGACTAGGGGGGGGGGGGGGGGGGGGGATGAAAACATTGCAACAGTTGACTGTTAATTGAGCACTCCGTAAGAAAGCACCATATGAAAGCAAACAGAAGACTGTTCCATAGAACAGCACTAATTTGAGCACCACTGTTCATTTGCTTAATTAATGTGCTACTGAACTTTTTTGGTTGGCACTTTATCACAAATTGACTAGAATTTATCAAAGACCGACAACATAACTTGTGACGATTTCAATAGATTTGACTCTAATTCCTCACAAACCAACTTTTCATTAAAACAAAACACACCAATTATTTGGTCTGCTAGCATAATAACTTGGTCAAGGATACGTTGATATCGTCCATGTTGAGAACAGGACAAGTTCCATACTTTGTCAAACAGGAAGCTGACACTGGCCCCTCGCAGGAACAACTGTTGGCTGTCGGGCGGGTCCAGCTGTGAGATGGGTACATTGAATGTAACTACATATGTAACAGAATTTATATTTATTTCTTGGTATTGTCTTGACCTATCAAATCAAATCATATCCTCCAAACCTACATTGTTAATGACAGTATTTTACTTCTTAACTTTTACCTCAGAATTTGAAAGAGCGAAGCAGGTGAGGAACAGCCTTGAAATTCCATGTAATATTGAGCTTTTTTACATCTCAATGTTACATCTTTTTTAACCAGCTATACATCTCTGTATCACAGGGCTACCCTGGTATGATGTTATACAGTGCATACACCTATATTCCCATCTTTGCATAATCTTGTACAATCTTCCTACTCAAGCAGAAGCATAGCAGATCGTAACCCTTGGCTTGCGAAGATGCCATACCCCATACAATAACCAATTGAGACATTAGATTTAAGACAACTGTAGACAATAGACATGATTTTTTTTTCTTCTAAACATTTTCTTCGGGTTGGTAAGTATTGATTATGAAAAGTTCTTTTTACACAACCATTTTTTTTTTTATGTGACGTTTTGATGACTAGTACGATATGTACACTGTCACCTTCATCAGACAAATGACCAGTGAAGTGTATGCACACAAATGTGTAAAATGTGTACGAGTTGTCCTCAAAAAATTATGTCGGTTCGGCTACAATAGTTGCTATATATGTACCGAAATGACTCAAAATGTACCGAAATCTCATAAACATTTTACACCTTTGTGTGCATACGCTTCACTGGTCATTTGTCTGATGAAGGTGACCAGTCATCGAAACGTTACATAGAACATTTTATTGGTTGTGTAAAAAGATTTTTTCATAATTATAGACATGATGTTTTAAGACTTGACAATGGTTAGAGAAAACATGTTTTTATTAAATATTTCCGCTCTTAAACTCCTTTCCATTTTTTGTGATATTTACGAAATATGCGCTGCTTTATATATTGCTTTATAAAATTTAATTGAAATGGAAACTTACTGAAATTGTTATTATTTACCTGGAGATTATATTGTGATGTTATCCACTTTCCAGAAGCCCCTAAACAGGAGATTATCTCATGTTTGTGTGGGACAGAGTGTTTGTGTTTCTCCTCCATAATATTGGTATCTTCCTCACTGGTAAACATGCAAGCTACAACAGAAAATACAATTATTTACAAATTACTCATGTCGGTTGAAGTCAATAAATTTCATTATTCATACTTAGAATGATTCAATTGTGAGAAATCATTGTAACATTTTCAAATTTCATATAATTTTAGATTGTTAATTATGATCGGTCACACTCACAAATCTTTTTTAATGTAACTGATATATGTTGTATGTTTACAACAAATTGAAATGAAAACAAAAATGTAAAATATCATGTGAAAAGTTATCCCCATATATTTTGTAAAAAATCAAATTAAACACAGAATCAGTTTTATATCAAGCATTACACTATCAAGGTTTACTGAGTTCGAGGCTGCAGTGTTAAGAGTAGTTAAGGCGTATGACTGTCTATGATAACCAGGCTACCACCACTGGGTTATGGGTTCGGGCCTACATAGAGTAGCTGCAAGTACAGGCCACAGCTGGTCATTGGTTTTTACATGGGCAATCCGGTTTTCCTCTACCACCAAAACCTGGTTTCTCCTTAAATGCCCATATCTGGTAATAGGACATAAAACACAAACACAAATTTGAGTCCAAGTTAAGTGAACACACCTCCGTTGTCAATGACGACATCCACTCCCACACCCCCGGTCTCCTCCATCACACTGCTGGCTAGAATGTTGGTCCTCTTGCTGATGTCTATCACTTGGGCTTGGCAAATAAATGGAGAGAACAAATTGATAAATTGCTTTTCTTCATACAGCACACAACACATTTAAGTTTTATTCTGAATAATAGATAAGTGTATGCATAATTTTCAAAACGAATGTCAGTTTTAAATGATCATGCATAAAACTTGTTCAAGACTATTTCAATCAAAAATCAATATGATCAGGGGTACATTCGCATATCCGGTTGAACCGGTTGAACCTGTAAAGAAAACAACAGGTACAGATCTGGACCTAGGCTGACCTCAGGAAAATTTGGCACGTGTAGATTGAGGGGTCCAGACGAACCTGACCAAAACTAAAATGTTGACTATTGCTAGTTTGCATTATTTCTTTCTAAAACATTATCAAGCCACATGTAGTTTTTAAGATACGTTATGTAATTCAGTGAACGCATGAAAGGGCATAATATTCTTGATACATTGTTTTTTATTCTCTGAAACTGTGCATTTTTAGCTCTGCTAATAGAATGGTCCAAGTGCGTTTGTTTATCATGGAATATTTCTGCACCACTCATACCGTTTCAACTGGGATACGCGAATGTAGCCCTAGACACACTTCAATGAAATGCGACAGATGATGAACCAGGTCATGGTGTAAGGGAGATAACCCTACTTTTGAATGTCCGTTAAGAGCTAGGTTATAAATACCTATAGATATTTGCAGACCATCAATGAAGTTTCTTTCTTCCTGACTGCTGGACGTTGTTATAATCTATAATTAAAAAACAAAGTTTCTAATACCCAAGTAGTCCATGTGTTTTCTTCTACAAGTTCTTGTGGAATCTCAAAATTTCAAAAATACTTCAAAATATCACTGTAGCAAAATGTACCCATACTGTAGTCAAAATTAATTAGGATTAGGGGGGTAAACTTTTATTCACTTTTAATCAGGTTTTTATATATAGAAAAAAATCATGTGAGAAAGAAATCTTATTCACCAAATATGAAATCAAATCTTTATGTCCATTTCAAACAAAACAAAACACCTTGTGTATACTTTGTGTATGATGTGAAATATGATTTTTTTTCATTTCTTATCTTACATGTAATAACTGTGGTTTGTACTGTAGTAAGAAGAGGAGGGTTAAGTATTTATTGATAAAGATACCAGAGTTTTATTTATCTTATTACAAATTGTAAAGATTATAGGAGGGTTTGTTATAAACAGGTTGGCTACAATCGTTTACATTAGGGTTCATAATACTCATGTTGACTGCAATCATCACATGCACAGGTTGACAACAATCATTATAGTTCATAATACACAGGTTTTGATATTTAATTATCATATCAAGGCTCATTATACACAAGACATGCTTATACAAAACAACTACACACTATAGACAAGCTTTCAGGCTTTACCTTAGCACCCCAGTGATTGGCCAGGTAGAGTGCTGCACATCCAAAGGGTGTGGCCCCGTCAATCACAAGGACTGTGTCCCCACCACACACACGCGCCTGGTAGTGCAGAGCTGTATACGCCTTCACACAGTCACCAATTCCTGCTGCAGCCTCGCTAAAACTCAGTCGATCTGGCTTCCTGACTATGTGAGGAATTCAAGGTAAATGTTACTTTAAAGTTTTACATCGATGAGTGATAAGTTTCCAATTTTTCAAAAGATAGATTTTTGTGGGTATGATGATTGGATAAACATAATGTTTTAGATAAGCCATTATGATAAGAAAATTGATATCTCTTAAACTCTAATCCAAATACTCAGCTGTAAACATTTTTTTTTTAAATTTCATATACAGCAAATTTCAAAATGTAGATATCAGTAGTACACATTGCATTTAATCCACTAAAGTGTCTCTGTTTGGAGTCAAACTTGAGTCTAGTGATTTACTGGTCCAGAAGCTTTCTCTAGCTGAGGCAGTAACACTTACACTACACTGTGTATTACCCACTGTTACATAAAGTAACAGGTACCATGTAATACTCACCTACGTCATACTCCGACATCAAACAATATTCCCCACATCCTGAGTATCTGGCATTTAATGGCACAACACCTAAAAATCAGTATTCAAAAATTATGTATCAAAGCTATAGACAAATTAAGCCAGAAGAAAGTTTCCAGTACATATTACAGTCTTTTTTACAGTGATACATACTACACACAAGGATTCTGAATTCCAGTAACGCTTTCTGATGGAAAATCTTCGTGAAACTTGGGCCTGGTCCTATTAGTAATATCCATGCACAAATAAACTGGTTTCTCACATACACAGCATGTTGCTGTTTATTAAACTTGATGACCTTCATATCTTACCTACAACATTTTCTCCTAGAGCTACATTAGTCACAGACTGACCAATCTTGACCACGATTCCGGCCACATCATGCCCAACACTATATCTGTCTCTTTGACTTTTCTTGTGGATTTCTGTTAGTATCTGAAATATCACAACAAAGAGATTAATGCAACATCAAATCAAAGCCAATGAAATCCCATAGGGGTGTCACAATACGCCAAGAGTGTATCACAATATATTGCAATACAGAATGAATACATTGCGATACGTATCCCGATATACTGTCATTGGAAGGATGTGCTCAATTTTGTAATAAGTTTTTGTCAGAATGTTATCAAACCTAATCATATATAATGTAGTAGGACGAGGAATAGTGCTAAAGATAGTGCCATCACTGGGCCACGAACCCGCGACCCTCGACTCTCCAGCCTGATGCTCTACCGCTGAGCTAAAGGGAAATTCCCTACAGCCAACGCTTGCAAGGCAATGCAAGGCAACCTAATTAATCCACATCTTTTACATTAATATGGATTACAAAGATTTAAGAATTTTGTCAAACCAACCATCAATTACAAAATTTTAACCTTTAAAAACCTTCTTTATGCTTTTTGGCATATCTGTTAGAATTTGTAGTAATTTACAAAGTTAAAACACCTGAAGCAGATCAATATGCTTTTGAAAAGCATTGCGATACAGCAATATTTCATCTCTGTATTGTGGTACGATACAATATGCCTGTGTATTGCGATATACCTGTTTACTGATATCTTGTGACAGTCCTATTATCTCATATACAAAATGTATCTCTTCCTGTTTGATATCAATCTTATTGTCTTCGTAAGACCAAACTCCCATAAAGGCTGAAGCAATTTTATTAGAATATTTTTCTGGGCTGTAAAACATCACTGAAGTGACTTTATTATATATAAACTGTTCTTATAACTCACTGTTAACTCACCGTTGTCGACTTCATACCATTAGTCTATAACTACTATTGACGCATCTACTTATATCTTAATACCTTTGTTTTGTTGCTGAGAACTTGAAATATGTGAGTAAACTGTCGTGTTAATTTATATGTAATAAGTTTTGAACAAATTTGTTGTTGTTTATTGTTAGATTAACCAGTTGACTGATAAACCAGTTACTCGGTCAGAAGATTTTTCGAGTAACCAGTTACTAAAATTTGACCAGTTTGACAACCCTAATATAGTACTGTACCGATATGTTACCTTTGTATTATGTTTTGCTAAAGCACATGCTTTGACTTGTACAACAATGTCAAACTTCTCCGGGGAAGGCACCTCTATCTGGAATGTAAGAATATCAATTAACAAATCAATTTGTTATGTATATACAATAGAAATATAACAGTAGTGATAAAAACACTAAACCGTTAATGGTATTTGAACGGAGTACTTCTGAACTGTACAGAGTGATGCTTTACCTAACATATCAATCCAGATCCAGTTATGCTAATTTTCTCCATAGACACACACAATCCTGTATTACAATGTACGGATGTAACAGGAGCAAAACAAAGCAACTGTAACAGGTGAAAGAGAAAATGTAACAGCCCTGGGACCTTCTGACCTCTAGACGAACGCTCTACCAATTTAGTTACCTGGTCTCTGATGATCGACCTCATGCTCGTCCAGTTCTGCTACACAACCACCAGACTGACATTTTCAAAATTAATTGAGACCTACAAACTCTAGACAAACACCATAACAACTGTTACCCGATCATTAATGTAGTTCCACTACAGAATGACAAAAATTCAATGACCTTTTATGACTGAAACTCTTCCAAATGATTCCTTTAGTCACCAGTAGTCATCCAAGTTAAATTCTATGAACTTTGATCTGATCATTCAAATGTGTATTAATTGTAAATAGTATTTATATTTTCCTTTAGATTCTATTCAAAACATTATTAAGTTTGTATCCTACCAGGGAAGAAAAAGAAACCTATATACATTTATTTTATGAATGTTCAAGGATAATCAAACTTCGAAAGGAGTTAGAGAAGTGGTTTCTCGATAAAACCATGTTCAATTTTAGTATATCGCCAATATCGATACTGCTAGGGCTTCATGGTCGCCATAATGGTATGATTAATATGATGTCGCTGCTGTTTAAGCAATATGTCTATCACTGTAGAATTAAGAAAATTTATGTGTGTTTTGAAGTCTTAAAATCACACATATGTCAATACTATGAGGTAGAAAAGATTGTGTATAAATCAAGAAATGAATACACAAAATTCCTTACAAGGTGGGGAGGATGGCATGCTTTATCCGAAAGGGAGGAACAAAGTAAAATATAAACAAAGTCTTTGTCGGTATGGTAATGAATATTGCACTGATGATGGAAATTGGTCTTGCTGTATGTCTATTCGTCTAAGTGTACTTATCTATAGCAAAAGCTAAGCTAAAAATTAACTTTAATATGGGTGCTGCTAAAAAAACTTGGAAGAAACTAGGTGAACAAATTGCTTCAAAATGAACTTGCATATTTTATTCTGAAACTATTGTGTTTAGATCCAACTAAATCACCGATGAAGGTGGAGGTATGTGAGGACATGTTAATAAATATGTATATTTAAAAAAAAATAAAAAATCGGTGCAGAGTGTAATTTCTGATGTTCCCAAATTTAGCAGTGCTCATGTTGAACTCAAGCATGTATATAATCCTATGGGTATTGTAATGTAATGAATTGTTATGTAATGTAAGGTTTTGTCTCTGGCCTTAATGTAATTGTTCACATGAAAATCAATAAAAAAAATGAAATGTAAAAAAAAAAAAGTTTGTATCCTACCATGTAGTCAACATCGTTGACTGGTGACATTAATGCTGGTGTAAATATTTGTGATACCTCGACCATGTAATGATTATCACTTTATTATCATTTCTCAGTCCTTTAATAGATTCTAGTGTGTTAAAGCTGTTTCAAAAGTTCAAGCACAAAAATAACAACATCAATGCCTTTCTCCGACAAAACATCAGCACTTGCCCAAGGAAGATCAAAGAGAAGTGCTATACAACCATGCATGGTAAGACCCAATTTTGGAATATATGCCTGTGTTATCTGGGACCCGGTAACACAGAAGGATACCATTAATATAAAGATGGTCCAGAGGAGAGCCACACGTTTTGTCTATGGAGATTACAGAACAACGAGCAGCGTGTCATCTACTAGTATGCTAAATATTTCCAGTGGGAATCACTCTAACAACGTAGACAGCAGTACAAGCTAACGTTGTTGTACAGAATTATCAACAGACTAGTGGCTATACCATCACAGCCACACTTGATACCTAGGGGTGCCTCAGCAACAACCAGAGGTCACAGTTTACGCTTCCAGGACCCATAATCTCATGTACAGAACCATCATCAGTCCCATCATCAGTCCCAAAAAGTATTGCCACTCTAGAGGAGTTCGAAAGACACATGCACCAGTACCAGACCACCTACTAGTTGCTCCGGATGCTTTTTAATTGTATATACGATTTCATTTTAATGACACAATTTCTCAATCATCACAATGGGTAGGTGCAACAAGTAATCTGCCGAGGAGGTATTGCAGAGAATTGGAAGAAGAAGAAGAGTTTCCTCTAACCTCGACACCAGAATTAGACATTTTGACAGATGGATGTCTTGATATTTCTGTCAGAATATCTCAGTCTATTTTCAGGGCAAGAGGAAACTTGGGCTAGATGATATGCTACACACTTTCCCTTTCCTGTTACATTTATAAAACAAAATAACAGAATTGATTCTTTCCAAACCTCCATGTGCAACGTTAAGTAAGCGTGTCGTTAAGCTCTGACTCTGAAGTCTAGTGTTTTCTTCCAGTTTAATTAAAGCTTCGTGTGTATGATTAATTATAGCCGTTTAGCACTACCCAGCTGTAAGACAGCACAATATCGAGGGGAGGAACGTAGAGTCCTATAATTATATGTATATCGAAAAAAATGAACATCATCTATTCAGCAAATAAACTACTTACATCTGCTTCCAGAGTAAATTTGGAACTCCCGTCCGTTGGACTTAACGCGTCCTGCACCACAGATCTCATTCTTCATGAACCTATTACCTAACCTACCGGCTATCTTCTGATTATAATGCAAAATTTACTACTGTGACTTTGAAATGTTTAGTTTACAGATAAAACATCACATACTGTAATTGTCCGACAACCAACTGTTATTGAAATTACCATAGAGAAACTTCATGCATTGATAATTACGCTATTGCACGCGTAATCAGTGATATTGACATTCTTGATCCGAACATGAATGAACCGAAAATAGAACCGGAAGTGTGTTGTGGTACGACACGCCCCCAATCTTCCCATAGTTCATGTCATTTCCGGTAAAGCTGGGGTGGTGACTGCTGAAGATAAATTTTCATAATTTTTGAGTAGCTGCAGACTATATCTGACCTTGGAGATCAGAGACAGAAGACACATTCCTAGAAATTTTCCATAATTCAATTATGCATTGGATTTGACACGAAAACGGTACTTGATCCTTGTAATTTGTCCAAACTTAGCATACTGGTTTTGCCCGGTGCCATGATTGCATAGGTAAAATTGATGTCAACTTCTGTCTACTTCTAGAATTGAATGCATTGACTAATCGTGTATTTTTTTAAGGTGACACACCAAGTATACTTCTTTAATGTATGCTTGTGAAGTAATATACTCAATGTTTCTAAGGTTTAGTTTCTTAGTACTTCATTGTTTTATGTCGCCTTTGAGTCGTGTTTCAATGTGTAGTAATTAACTGTTAGTAGACCTGGGCCGTTTTCGTTTAAACTGTTCAACATGTCGGACCACAGTTGTTCGTTTATTAAATAATGTCGGACCTAGTAATCTGATGCTGCTTTCAGACGAGCCTTGTCAAAGCATTGCATGGCCTGAATAAACATTTGCAGGTCCGTCAGGATTTATACCCCAAAATGTTACATTTATAAGGGGACATACTGTTTGTTCCGCAAAAACAAACAAGCTCCTAGAGTTACATCTGCAATATCCATTTACTATATAAATATGAAGCTGGTTTGAGTTCGGTAAACCAAATGCTTCCTTCAATCTACATTTACCCGACCCTATTCACAGGGCCATATATGTTATAAGTATTATCTTTCGCTGTAATATAAATCGCTGTAAGCTTTTTAGCTTTTGGAGATGTCTTGATTATATTTCATTTACTTATTGATAATGTTCATCCAGTTGTGCATAAAATGATAAAAGTCCTTTATTTACACATTGATGAGTTGTGGCGGTACATAGGTCATGTTGCTCACACATTATATCTTGACAAAAACAGTTCTCTCTCTATATGAAACACACTTATAATTACACACATACTGTATAAAGTTCGCTCTTGTTGATTTGCTCTCAAATGACCAGTAAAAGTTCACATAATTAAAAACACATATGCACGTGGTGTCCATGGTACTGATTGTAAAAAGAGGCCTGGAATTTGGACCTGTTGGTAATGTTATGGTTGTTCAGTAATGTTTTAAAGCTGTTAAGGTTAATTGCTGTAGCAATCACTTCCGGTAGACTGTTCCATGTTGTTATTGTTCTATTGCTGAAGACATTTTTGTTCAAGGCAAAACGGTTTCTTTAACAGCTTTTTTGGATGCCCCTATAGGCCTGGTCCCCATATTTGATGCCGGTTTAAACATATGTTCATGGTCTACATGGTCGATATTATTTAGGATCTTATCCTCAGATATTTTCATTAATTGTAAAAGTCCTGTTTTATTTGGGATTTTATCTGATTTTCCCCTTATGTCATTGGCCGATCAGTCTAGTCTTTCTATGCCAATTGCAGCCATTGGCCTTTAACACATATATACCATGTGATGATGTCAAATGAAGCAGTGTGTTCTGACAATTCAGAAGGTTCACTTAAACTGTATTAAAAAAACCTGATCAAAACATTGATTACAGTTGAACCTTACCTTATTATCTCGAAGTCGACAGGGTCGTGGAAAAGCTTCGAGTTATCCTAGTATTCCAGTTATCAGAGTTATCCGAGTATTTAAGTTGTGCAGGTACAAATGTGACACAGCTTTACAGCTATTTTACACAAGAAATTATCTTTATTTGAAGTTTCAATGTAACAGAAAATAATCAATGGGGACTGTAAACAAACGAAGACTTGTAAATGTTAATCCTGCGATTTCAAGTGTTAACCTCAACAGAGCATCAGTTTTACTTACTTTAAACAGTTAAAATATTGCCCAAGATTTAGATTTTCTACATCAGATCTAAAGAGAGAGTCAATTTAGATTCTACTGTATGTCTAATACTTTATACACACTCATGGAACTAAGTTATTATGTGATATATTGATATGGTAATGTTTAGCATGGAATTAAGACATGAAGGCCGACTTAATAAGTTAATAATATAAGGGCTTGAAGTGGCTCTTAACCCTTTCACCCCTATGTAACTTCAATAAACTCTTCCATGCATTGATTTGAATAAGTCCATTATGGTCTACATTGGTGAAAAGGTTAAAAGTTTCATGTGCCTTTTCATAGGTATGTCAAGTACAATAGTGTGGGTTTTAGGTCAGTTGCCAGTGACCAGATAACTGTTGATTTTATTTTACTGATCCCCTAGTGAGTATCAAATGCCACGGCCCAAATCTCTGATCTGAATATTATTGAAAACATTTCATTTTAACATTCAGTCAGCAAATTAAAGGTTCAGATCAATTGGTTAAGTTTTTAAATTAGAATATCTTATCAAATCTTATGAGCAAACATTTCTTCATTAGCAATTTTATGTACCCAAGGTATATAAATCTTTCAAGGAAACAAATGGCTGCTAGTGCTGTAGTGCTTTAAAAATCTGCTGTAGTAATTTCCCTTACCTTTTTGTTTTTGAAAAGTTCCTCAGTCTATATGTATGAGCAATAAAGAACGAAGTTGAGAAAAATTACAAACCATTATATTTACCAGCTGAATAATGTTTGTATGGGAAAGTGCTTATATGTATAAATCACAGATAGTGAAACCAGGAAATATATTTCCGTATGTAACAGAATCTTTAGTCCATCAATTACGTTAGATTAAGTGATGCTGGGAACAGCAGGAAGTACTGATAGAAATGTATCCTGATTACCCTTAGTAAAATTAAAATAAAAAAAGTTTTTTTCCTGTGCGACAGATTTGATGAGGAAGTTAATGTTATACACGCCTGGCAAAGAGAAAATTAAATGGTACAGAAATTTATCAAATTTATTTCGATTTAAAGATTTTTCTGGTGAGTTGTTTTAATTATGAACTTATTCCTAAGCAATATTTCTTGAAATTCAATTACATTTGTATACAAATTAAAAAAAGCATGAATTTATCTGCAGAAGTGTATTTATAAACATTTAATGGGCTATGTGTAAGAGAGTAGAGTCATCATTAAATTTAAATACTATATTCAGTTCAAAATTTTTGGATCCATTGTATTATCATTACAGAATGAATTAACGTTCGATTAGATAGATTGTTAAATTTAGTGCCATACATATAAAGTTTGAGGCTTGGACAGGCAGTGATTTTTGGAATCTATATGTACTCGGGTACAGGAGTCATGCTTGTCCTATATGACTTACCCACATTGTGATATTACAAAGGTATCATTAACCCTTTCACCCCTATGTAACTTTAGTAGACTCTGTCATGCATTGATATGGATGAGTCCATCATGGTCTGTAGTGGTGAAAGGGTTAAGATCTCCCATGTGTTTGTATCAATCATGCTTATACAACTCTTTTTTTGTGTGTGTTGTAGAACTTGCTTATGGGCCCAACCAACGTGTAAACAATGGCCGCTGCAGGAGGTACGTTATGTATTTATTTTGTTGCCTGCTTGTATATTTTCAAATTACATATTTACTTTTACAGCATTAATCCAGTTTTCTTAACTTGTTTTCAAAAAATATACTGTCAGAAAATAAAAATAAATTGCTTAATTATATAAAGCTAGTGTACTTCAAATTATATGATTTACCTTTATTACGAATTTTGGGAAACCACGATTTAAAACACAATAAAACATATAAGAGATAGCCTAAATCATAAATAGTTGTTAATGTTTTGTTGGTCACAGACTTCTATTGTGTGATAAACCTACACATCTTACATACATATTCATATCTGATCAACATATTTTTTCTCTTCCAGGTGGTGCTGCATGGACGATCACCGGGGAGGATCGGTCCAAACATGATTCCCAGTTCTTCCAGCTCAGACCTGTCAATGGGTTTGTTACAGGTAAGCACTTGATATTTTTTAGGGATGAAGAAAGAGATGGTGGGGTGTTGCCATAATGCTGTAAAATGTTCAGAGAAAACACCGTCAATATGTGTAATAAATGAGGTTTCCCATTTCATTGAGTGTATACTGCTACATAATTTTGCACACTGTGAGTAAAATTTTCTGTTATCTATTTCAGCATAAAAACTTACAAAAACTTTAAATTTTATTGATACATAAGTATTTTTATTGATTCATATGTCTCTGGTATCAAAACTATATAGTTTTGAGTAATATTTATGGAACCCAAAAATGTTAACTGTTATTGGACAACTCCAATTTTGACCATTCATTATGTTGTAGGTGACCAGGCCAAAGGCTTCTTCATGCAGTCTGGATTGCCCACTGCCATTCTGGGACAGATCTGGTAAGCAGTGTACACTTGCAAATTACAGGAAATTAAAAGAGGAAAGATTGTAACAAAGAATATGCTTTTTTCGTTATTTTTAATTTCATATATTTTTATGCCCAAAACATCGTGTTAGCCTTTTCCATCGGTCTGCAGCAGCACGAGTGAAAAATATCAAAATATTAGCCACACGATTGAAATATATTTGTTATTACTGAAAACACCATTAAATTTTCTATTTATTACATTTTTAAAGCATAAAACATGAAAAAATGTAATGCATTAAAAAAGGGCGGGAATCAGGACCTTCATAATAAGCGCCATATCCTAATGACGTTGCACTTGACAACAAGGCTGCCCACCATTTTGAATGGGATACTCAACGCAATTCCGACGTTTTCTGGTATTATTGCCTATAAAAATGTTATTTATTGTATATTTATGTAAATACTTAAGTGTGTGTGTACCAAACATTTACCATAACAACCACTTATGTTACTGTCGCTTCATTTGAATCTAAACAAAAAATCGCTGCCTTTGAATGCAGCGAATAGAAGATATCGTTATGATCGGTCAATATCAAAAAGTGATATTTGTCACAGTGTGAAAGATATCAGTTTTATCAAGTTGATAGAATCCAATATTTCACTGGTAAAAATGTAATAAATTAAACAATCAAATCAGAAGTTGACAAATATTGTTTGGTTCCTCCATTATCTACCAGTAATTAACTGCAGCACTGATATGTTATATATCACATATCTACATTGCTATAGGACTCTAGCTGACATGAACAATGATGGCAAGATGGACAAGAAGGAGTTTTCTATTGCCATGCATCTGATCAAGAAGAAACTACAGGGCTACGAGTTACCCAAGTCTCTTCCTGCCTCACTGAAAGCTGACCCAGTGGTGGGGTCCTTTGGTGGGATGTCTGTGGCTGGACCAGGAATGATGATGGGCCAAGGTAGCAATTTATAAGGGGTCAAGCTAAAGAAGTTGAAGTCCTCAGTCTTATATTTGTATCCTCATTTTTCACAGAAATTAGATTTATATTGTTTTCAGTGTATTTGTCTGTACTTCCATCTTAAATCAGTTTTCAGGAGAGACTCGGGTCTGGTCTCAAGAATGGGATGATTTACAAATACGTAAGAAGGTTTATGAATATTCTTCCACTTTGATTGCCCGATGTTTTTTTTTATTGAATTTTCACTAAAATGCAAAGATTTATTTGTGATCCCAAATCATATGCATAGTAGCGTTGTTTCTACTGTTGGCTTGATACAGATGACACGTGTATTACAAAACTTGTATATGTCATTAGAAAAGCCTACAACAGAATAATGGAAAATAATGAAAAGTGCAAAAATGAGTTCATTTAAATGATAATAGAGAAAACTTGTTCATGTTTATGTATTACAGCAGCCATGCCAGCTATTGGCAGTATGGCCCCAACAGCGATGGTCGCCAGTCCTATGACAATGCCGGTCATGTCTAATGGAGTGGCCCCGCCCATGTCCCAAGCTGGATTTGGAAGTAAGGCAGATTATACTGATCCTGTTTGCCAAGATAATGTTTCCTCATGCCCTACCAGTACTGAAAAGAATGCAATAATAATGCATGATTCATTCTGTATAATCTAAAGGAATTATTGCTGACACTCGCATATAGTAACCGAAAAGGAGAAAACATGTTTTGCATTCTCACTGATAATCCAATTCAGTTTCAAGAAAACTGATTTTTTTATGTAACATATATAGATTTTTATAATAAAAAACATAAGTGTTTTCATGGAATCAACAACTTGTAGTTACATGTATCAATATTTTTTTCCATGCAATGCATATATTTCCCAGGAATCCAGTGTTAAATTTCTTAAATATTTCTTTGACTCCATGCTGATAAACTAGGTGCATATTTTAATGAAATGTGTGTTATGATTTCGTATTTTAAAATGTAGAGAAATGTAGGTGAAATATCTGCATGGTATTAAACTTTTGACATTTTTACATAAAATAGCTAACCTGTACTAACTTTGATATTTTTTTTGCTACTGTCAGTGATGGGACTGGCACCTGGTATGGATGGTAAACCTCGGGCTGGATCCTTTACTGCAGTTCCTCAGCAACAGATGGGTGTTGGGTATGTACTTAGTAGGGCCAACAATAAATGTACTAAAAGTAGGGCCAAAAATAAGTAAGAGTGGTGACTGCCCAAACATCAAACATGTTACTGCTTGTCATTATATTTTTATTTCAAATACAAACGCATATCAAATGTTTACATGTTGTCAACTGCTATTTTTCCAGGGTCGCTCAAAGATAAAATAATTCTGATGTGTCTGATTTTTTTTAACTCAAGTCATCATAAACATCAGCATGTTTTGTTTTAGTTACTAAAAACACCTGTGAATATGAAGTTTCAGGTTTTCGTGTAAAGATTTATGACTGAAAAAAACTTTCATTTAAATGAATAGGCTAATTGACTGAGTGAAAATTAGAGTAAATGATTCGACTAGTGTTAATTAACCATGTCTTTAACTGAATTCAGAATAAGGTTTACCTAAAATAAGCTTCAGAAAAGTATCAAATAACAAAAAAATAAACCTTGAAGTCAAATTGGTCAAGTAAATGACATTGACCAATTTTTCGGGATATTGGTGCCAAAAATAAGTATTCGTGGACAAGGAATTGGCAGTTAAGCCCAATAACATATACCTGCACCATAGGGCCATGCCTTTTATGTTTGTAACTTCTACATCTCCCTCCATAGCCCACTGTACAGAGTGATTTTGATTCTGTATTACAGTCAGATGAGTTCCTTTGCGATGCCCCAACCGAATAAGCTAAAGTACACTCAGCTGTTCAACACCAATGACAGGAACAAGCGAGGGAGTCTTACAGGTGAGATATAACCAAAAACATGATGAAAAATGGCAGAACACCCAGACTTAGGATTTAAATTGCTCGTCTTAGAATGGATATATTGCCAATATTAACAATAATTTGCTTTCCCGAGGGTCGATTATGCTTTTATGAAACTAATTTCATTTACATCATACAGATTTGTTGTTTATTTCCTGTAAAGGTTGACATGCTGTGCACATTTAGTATTTGCTGTTGTTTTACTTGTTAATCAGGTGTTGAAGCCAGGGCGATCTTTCTACAGACGGGTATACCGCAGCCAATTCTGGCCCAGGTTTGGTAAGTAAAAGGAGTCAGGGAAAATTCATTAGAATATCATAATGCAACTTTTAACGATGAATATAGCAATGTACAGTTCACAATATCGTGGCACTGGATATATGCTGCAACCAATGAAAAATCATAGCCATTCTAGAAATCAGTAGTCTGTAAGATCTCATTATGCTGTCGCCTTTTGTCCAGCAAAATATTAGCATAATAATGTGGTTAGTTACCGAAGGTATTTTGTTTTTATATGGAAGTCATTTTCAAAATAAACAGCATTAGAATTCCATAACATTTTCATTGCTTCATAAGTTTAAAGATTGTGTTAATTAATTCTGTTTAAATTATATTATTTATTGAGAATTATCTGAGATTTACGTGTTTATGAAGTTTGTTGTTCGTGTATTGTTTGACAGGGGTCTCTCTGATGTGGACAAGGACGGGAAGCTCACCTGTGACGAGTTCTGTATAGCCATGCACCTGATAGACTTGGTGAAGATGGGTGTGACACTGCCCCCTACCCTGCCTCCAGAGCTCCTACCCACCAAGGGCCGGTCAGGCAGTTTTGGTCCCCCACAGGTCAACCAGCCACAGCAATCTCTACCAGGTAAATCTTTAATGTGAGGTTAAAAAAAAATCAAATACAAATCTTGACAAAAATTGAAATATTATACTGGTATTTCTTAATAATTTGCATATGATTTGTTTTTCATTTTTTTGTCAAAACGTCTTTAAAATTAATTTGACAGAAAAGTGGGCTTAAAAGAAAAATTCACCAACACTGAAATAATGACACATTTATGTATACATGCTATTTTTTTGAAGCAATGTTTTTTTTGGCAATTTTCATTGAATGAACCATCAATCGATATTATCAAACTATCTTATATACCACAACCTCAACACTACAAATTAAGCAAGGAATGAACTATATTTTTTTGTGTAAATGTTTAAACAGCCTGTGAGAAATCAAAGTTGTATCATGCAATGACAATTGGTCCCTTTATGCTGTCAGGTAAACCCAAGGACGCGTTTGAAGACCTGTTAGGGAATATGGGTATGGCTCCTCCTCCTTTACAGCCCCAGGCCAACAACAACACTAACCAGGAACTAGAGGAGGATATGTCACAAGGTAGGCTGCCACACCTGAAATATTATTATATTTTCATAAGCAATACAGCTTATTGATATTACATTACATGTGTTATGCACAATACAATGTCATACAAAGTCAAGTTCAAGCCATACACTAATAGGTATATTCACTCATTTCATAGACAAGAGGTGTGACCTAATTTCAAAAGCTTTACACACAAAAAAATCCAAAATTATACAGTTCTGTAACATTTTCTGTACTAAGTAATTTCAAAAGTTTATACATGGATGGCTTGTATCGGTAATAAGGTTTAACAGTTTTTGACGGAGGAAATCATATTCTTTACAAATGAAAACAAAATGATATTCATCTTCTTCTTCAGTAGTACATATTGGGCATATACGGTTAGAAACAGTNATATTCATCTTCTACTTCAGTAGTACATATTGGGCATATACGGTTAAAAACAGTCTGCTTATTGTATCTTCCTGTTTCAATTATTAAACAGTGCGCAGACAAACGAAAACTACAAATTTCTTTGTACAACTGTACCCTAGATGATTCATAACCTCAAGAGTAGAAAGTTTTGGTATATTTTCATAAAGATGAAAAATGCGGAAGAATCTTAAAATATGATGTCAGCAACACACAGAACACACAAAAAAACAAAGAAAGCATTAAGTTTAAATGTCAGTCCAAGTGCCAAAAATCTTACAAAATATGTAAACAATTTTGGTAAATACCGAAACATCTTATACAAGTACCAAAATAACCGAGTACAAAAATGTATATTTCCCACCGGAAGTGTTCGCTGGAGTTACATTGATCAACTTAAAGAAGGTTGATAGGGTTAACAGAAATAATTGGTGACTGGTGAGTGTCTATCCCATTGCTGTCTAGTCATGTTGATTTAACGGGTTTACGGGGTGCCAGGAAGCAGCTGGGCTGTGGAACGACCCCTACGTATACGTGCTACAGCTCCCCCTGCAAATGGGGGCAGGAGCTGAGTTACACCGAGGTGATAAGGCCCAAATGAATATGTGCAGCATATGAGAGCCCCCATGAGTTTTTTTTATAGAGGAATATAACTAAGAACTATAGAAAGACAATCAATATTTTATTGGGAATGTCCTAAGATGAAGCCTATGTCAATTATTATGACAGCCTGTTCTGAGGTCCTGATGCAATACTCAACTAGAACTGTAAAAATAAGCCCACTCGAAGGTTTGACATATTACAAGCCTTAATGACAGGAACATGTTCTTACTTACATCTTTTGTCAATGCTAGTGACATTTGAGGACAGACGGAAGGAAAACTTTGCAAAGGGTCAGGCTGAGTTGGACCGTCGGCGACAAGCTCTCCAGGACCAGATGAGGAGGGAACAGGAAGCTCGCATGCAGAAAGAGCGACAGGAGCAGGAGAAAAGGGAACGCATTAGGTAAAGCCTCTTATGTTAATCTTATGGGGGCCGCGTTGGCCAAGTGGTTAAGGCGTCTGACATTCTGCTACCACTAGCCCTCCATCACTGGGTCGCACGTTCGAGGCCTACGTGGGGCAGTTGCCAGGTTCTGGCCGTAGGTCGGTGGTTTTTCTCCAGGAACTCCAGCTTTCCTCCACCACCAAAACCTGGCACGTCCTTAAATGACCATAGCTGTTAATAGGACGTAAAGCACAAACAAACCAAACTTATGTTATTCTAAAAAGAATGTCATGTTTATTTTTTGGGTTGAACAAATTATCTGAACTCACTTCTAATTAATGAAACTGTAATGTAACATTAACAAGACAAAAAAAATAATTTTGTTAATGGATGAATGCCTTTATTTCAAGATATTGAAAAATAAAGATATAAAAAAGAGATTTACTTTATGATTTTTTCTATCCATATTTAATATGGATAGAAAAAATCATAAAGTAAATCTCTTGTCTAACAAAGAATTAAAATATTTATGTAATACTATGAATCTTGGGTATTTCAGTAGTTGTAATACTCCCTGGTGTATATATATATATATCAATGCAGTGCATATATAACTGATCTCAGAAGGTAATTGTAACATATGCTCAGCAAGCTTTGAAGTTTCGATTCGGTGTTTTCCTATTCGGCATCACCAACATTAAAGTATACTCAATAGACTTTTTCATTTTGTAGACAAGAACAAGAAATGAAACGACAAATGGAACTAGAAAAACATATGGAAAAACAAAGACAAAATGAACGTGAAAGAGAAGGACAGCGCCAGAAAATAATGGAACAAAGAGAGGTACAAAAACACAGCCATACTAGGAAATTTTAATTTTGGATCAATGCTTTACTTTCGTTTCCCCTGGCAAGGAATTAAATTAAAATTGAATTAAATGCTGTATAACAAAATTTGGCTGTAGTGAACTAATTTCTATCATTTCCGGGTGTTTGTATTAAACTTTATTTTTCTGCCGTTGAAATTAATTTTCAGATTTTAAACTCTTCCTGAGTGAAAAAAATGTGTCATATAACTGTAAAGTGAAATATTAATATAACACCCTTGTTTCAATTGTCACCTCACATACTGCCAACCTATTTCTCCTTTCTTTTTTCTAAATACAAATTAATGTAGTTATATTCATCACTCTATTATATTATAAGACGCCTTTACAAGGCCAAAATTTAATTGTAAAAATGGTGTCGGTATAACATGGTTTTACTGTAGCATGTCGCTATTAACAGGCTGCCAGACGTGAGTTAGAACGCCAGAGGCAGATGGAGTGGGAACGACAGAGGAAAGAACAGCTGCTAGCAGAGAAACGTAGAGAATATGAGCAGTTAGGAAACCTCAAGTCTCGCGCTAATAACCTTAAGTGTGAGCTGGAATCACAGGTAAGAACTCGTTATAGTGTCAAAATGAACAGAGTTTCTGTAAGATTATTTTTCAAATATATGCATATTCATCCATCGGTTTAAAATCCCCAATGACATCTAAATATTACATGAAAATGCTGTTGTGTTTTTTTAGGAGGGTAAGAAAACAGAAATAACACAGAAAATCTCTCAAGTTCGCAATGGAGTGACAGACTTCACCGGCAGTATCGAGTCTATGAGGGGCAAAAGGGACACCAAAATGTCAGAAATAGACCGGCTACAGAACGATCTTCAGGTATAAAGGAGTTTTACGTCGGTTCTTCTGATACAACTAGAAACGACATTTGTGAAAGTCTTAGATATCCTAGTTCTGGTGCATTAAAACCTTCCTAAGGAATTGCTATGTGGTCATTATTCAATGCTTTCTTGCCGAGAATAAGTTTTCCAGCTTTGAGAGTGTTCATACCCTGGTAGGCTAGTAGATGCAGGTTTGACCCCACGACATTAGAGGCAACTTCTGTCGGATCTCAGAACAAGGTTTTGAAATAACGTGTAGTATACTCATCCTTATCGAAGGGAAAAACTTTGTATTAACATCATTCACTTCAGCAATTCATAAATGAACTGACATGTCCTGAAAAAAAATGTGTCTGCAGTTTAAAATATGTTGCATTACTATTTTGAAGTAAGTCCTTTATTGGAAGGGCAAGGTATATATTTAACATATGTTAAATTGTATTACAGTTACTAAACCAGAACTACCAGCGTGTTCAGCAGGAAAGGGAACACTTACACATTCAGATGCAGACAACTGTACAGAGCAATCCGTTGTGTAAGTAATTTCTTGCTTGTACCTTGCAACCCTCGGTGTATGTGTATTTTCAGTTTGTATTTGCCCGTCGATAGTGTTCGCTTGATATCTCCATTAATTTTGAACAGATTAAATTCAAACTTAATAGGAAAGTTTATTACCATAACAGCTCAAACAAGTTCGATAACAACCAATATCTTACGGTTACTTGTAGAGTTAGGGCCCATTATCCACTTTCTGAAACGGTGCCGAGAGCCCTTTATCCACTTTCCGAAACGGTGCCGAGAGCCCTTTATCCACTTTGGCTTTGGCTGGTATATAATTGAAGGTTTGTGTTGATCTCTGACTTTTATTCATCCCAGTTTACACACTGGTACTGCGGAAGAGGATTGTAGATTTTCATTCTGTCTGTCCGTTCCTCTGTCCAACCATGCTTTACTTTGTGCAGGGCATATCTACCTACAATTGCTAAATTTTGTGTGCTTGAGTATCGTATTAGGTCTTGTGTATTGTTTAACCACTCTTTGTTCACCATGCTTGTCTTGAGGTTGATGAGAATGGATTGCGCACAATACTCATAATACTAGTTTATTAATTGATATTTAATTTCTCATTTAATCTCTACAGCGGAAACTCACAGAACAGTTTTACACAGTGTGGAACTGAAGAAGACGACAATACAGAAGCTGGAGAAAGACCTGGAACAGATAGAGAGAGACACCGAGTGCCAACTTCAGGAGATAGATAACAACAATTCAGATCTTAGTGTTAGTACTCACGCTACATATATACTATTTAGATAACAACAAATCAGATCTTAGTGTTAGTACTCACGCTACATATATACTGTTTAGATAACAACAATACAAATCTTAGTGTTAGTAATCACGCTACATATATCCTGTTTAGATAACAACAAATCAGATCTTAGTGTTGGTACTCACGCTAAATATATACTGTTTAGATCACAACAATTCAGATCTAATGGTTAGTACTCACGCTCCATATATACTGTTTAGATCACAACAATTCAGATCTAAGTGTTAGTACTCACGCTTCATATATACTGTTTAGATCACAACAATTCAGATCGTAGTGTTAGTACTCAAGCTACATATATACTGTTTAAATAACAACAATTCAGATCTTAGTGTTAGTACTCACGCTACATACTTAAACATGTGTCTGGGCCTGTTGGTATTATTTGAACTTGATCTTGTAGTCATGTTCATTTGGACATTGCGCTGTGTTTTAATTTCAATGCAAAATCTTTTGATACAATTGTGATCAACAATACCACCAAGTCAATAAGTATCAAGTGTTTCCCCCAGAAATGTTTTGATGCACTATGGCATCTATGTTTTAACCCTTCCATCACAGCGCGGCGCTGCGAACCATTTCCGTGTAGCAACCCATCAATCGTGCGTGAAGCCACTTTGAGAAAGAAAACTCTTAACAAGAGTTCAAAAATAAAAATGTAGTTATTTCTAAATAAATACCATTACTTTAATCTTGACATTATACTGTATGATGCCTACGGTAATGTAACACAGTTGATTTTGTATGATATTATCATTCCTTGATGTATATATTTTTTGTCTTTCAGGAACTGAACGTGAAGCTGAAAGATCTCCAGAATGAATTGATTACACTTCAGACACAATCACAGCAGACATTAAACCAGCAGAAAAACCAACAGGAAGTAGATAATGCCAGTAAATTGAAACAAGAGAAGTTACGCAAGGAACTGGAGGCTCAGAGATTAAGGTATAAAGCTATATGGAAATAGTGTACTGTTTATTTCTCATGTGTAATTCAGTAGTGTTATTTTCACAATATTTTTTTGTTTGTAAGAGAAATGTCATTTTCATAAGAACCTTGAAACAAGTATCACTATAACTTCAATTTTGTTACAACTAAGAGGTATTCCAATGGGGCATGTTTTTGCCAATTTTTCCTGTGGCCTACTATACAAACGATTACAAATACCATAGATCCCACTGCCCTTTTATCATCAGTCATTATTGACCACCACCTAACACACAAAGCCCTAATTCAAATACATGTATGTGAAAAAATATTGCATGAATATAAGCTGTACCTGGTTTTAAGAATTTTAGAATCAAGAAACTTAGTAGAATAATTAATATTCTACTATGAATTGGGAGAAAATCTGTTCCATTTCATGAATGTGGTCTGTATCTGTTAATATCAGAACACTCCAACTAAAAACATTGAACATTTTTTTGTTTCTATTTTTCAGAGAGGAAAGTGACAAGAAAGACAGTAAGTATAGAATTACTTCAGATTGGTGGTAATGATATGAGGTGTCTACTTCATTTATATAACTTGTGATAAACGAATTTATAAGGGTGTCATAATGTGCTAAGAGCTAAGAATGAATATATTGCAGTATGTATCCCGATATATTGTCATAGGAAGGATGTGCTCAATTTTATGATAAGTTGTTGTCATAATCTTATCAAACTTAATAGTATATAATATGGATTACATAGATTTAAGATTTTTTTCAAACCAACCATCAATTACAAAATTTGAACTATTAAAAGCCTGCTTTATGCTTATTGGCATATCTGTTAGAATTTGTAGTAATTTGCAGAGTTAAAACACCAAGCAGATACATAAAAATATGCCTTTGAAAAATCATTACGATACAGCAATATTTCATCTCTGTATTGTGGTACGATACGATATACTTGTGTATTGCGATATACCTGTTTTCCGATATATTGTGACAGCCCTAGAACTTTATATGTGTTTTGTTTGCATTGAAGCATTTTGTTCTGTATTTTTACATTGCAATCATCTTCATGATTAAGACAATTACAGTAGAAACTGGGCTTTTAATTTCAATATAGCTGTCTTTTTGGAACAAAATGTGGACTCTGACTGTCTACACAGATATGTGACTTCCAGGAAGTTGGGGATGAATTGCACTTGGACATTTTTCCTTTATTCCACTGTTCTATTTGTTTACAGAACCTACAACAGAAAGTGATAGCAGTTCTTGGTTTGCCTTTGGCAATGAAAACAAAACAGCAACAGAGAGTGCTCAAGATGATATATGGAGTAACGCTTTCAGCTCGGAGAATTTGAAGGCTGTCGATACCAAACAAGATATATGGGCATCGGCCTTCTCTAGTCAGTCTACAGGTAAGCTGTGTATCTATTAAGTAGACACAAATGTGAACAGCGGCATTCATTTTGTTCTATTAACTGTAACAGTTTTTTTCGTTAAATATGATTTAGGCAGAAGGAATCAGTGATCGGCTTATTCAGTTGTAGAGCCATATTTTCAGATTTTGAATTTAGGATAGACATGCTACTATTAGCCTTGTTTAATTGAGGCAAACAGGACAGTTGTATTCATGAATGAAGATCTATGCAAACTAAAAATAAGTCCCTAGTTTGATATAAGACGTTTAAATTTTATCAATTTGTTTATTGTCATACCACAAGGGTCTTCTTGAAAACATGTCATTTACTGATATTTTGTTTTATGATTACAATGACCCGTGATCATTGGCAATGTAAGAAACTCTGCTGTATATAATATTTGTTTTATTTAGATAAAGAAACTCTGCTGTATATTAGATTTGTCTTATTTAGATAAAGAAACTCTGCTGTATCTTAGATTTGTTTTATTTAAACAAAGAAACTCTGCTGTATCTTAGATTTGTTTTATTTAAATAAAGAAACTCTTCTGTATATTAGATTTGTTTTATTTAAACAAAGAAACTCTGCTGTATCTTAGATTTGTTTTATTTAAATAAAGAAACTCTGCTGTATATTAGATTTGTTTTATTTAGACAAACCTTTAGTGTCTACTGAATCAAAGAAAACAAAATACAAAGTCTTGTACCAGTTTGATGCCAGGAACCAGGATGAGTTAGCATTGGTGCCAGGCGAAATCATAATGGTAAAACATTTTTAATTACTTTTCAATTAATTCAAACTTTCTTTTAAATGACTTTTATTTAAGCTTAATTTTTGTGTCGCCTGCAACTAGAGGTGACATATAGGTACTACTTTGTCGGCTCAGACAAGTTTGCATGTCAGAAGTTTACGTGCAATTTTGATGGAGTTATGACCCTTTTATTGCCAAATAAGGGCATTGTGTAGTTAATGAAAGAACTTTTTATTTTTTAATTAACTCCTTTCAAATTATATTGTTCAACATATATTACGGGTTCTTCTGTCAAATTCAACTTTCTGCGTTTTGGCATATCTGTTTACGCGATAACTCACGCCAAAACACTTTTCTTACTAAAAGCGCTGAGCACGCTACGCATCCACTCCTGTGGAATTCTTGTTAAATCCAACGAAATATTTTATTTACATTTGTTTAATCAAATTATTGTAGATGTCTTTGCACCGGTAAATTGTCTTCAGAATTTTATTTAGAAAATTTGAATAACCCATGTTATTTGGAAGTATTTTTGTGTACTAGGTATTTCAAAGGATTTTACATAATTAGTTTTGTTGCAATTAAGATTACAGTGATGTAAAGACATTGTAAATCATATTTTGAGTTCAAGTAGAATTTGCATGAGCGACTTAAACCTTTGACCTCTGTTTCAGGTCCCGGAAGATCAGAAGGGTGCTGAGCCGGGATGGATGGGAGGGGAAAAGGATGGCAAGACTGGCTGGGTCCCCAAAGATTATGTAGAACTTGTTCAAGAAAGTGTACTGTCTAGTCAGTTTTCTGTGATGAATGCCTTCAGGTAAGACGTGATCACTGTTGAGCTTAATAAACAGAAAGTACTTGAAATAATACATTTTTCAACAATTAGAATGTTTTGTTTTAGTGACAGTAATGCCTCTCTGAAATATGTAGAATATAATTTTGTGACAAACCAACATCACTCAGCATTTTCTTGAATAAATATTCAAATTCTATTTGTTGATAATAATGTAATACCTGTTTCAACATTTGAATATCTATTAATGAATGCAAACAAGTCATCTGATCGTTGTGTTTGTGTTAACAGTGGTGCTACAACTTCGACAGTGAGCTCTGTACCAGCGCATGTCGCCCCGGTGGAGAGCAAACCTACGGCCCCCACGCCGCCAGCTAAGTTTGTCGATGACTCTTCCTTCTCTGTGGTACAATCTAAGCCGGTGGCACCATCGCCTACTCCAGGCCAGGTAAGCTCCAGAACAGACAAGACATGTATGGTGTAGGCTTAGAATAGTTTTAAAACTGGTATGAGTAAACAATTTTCCCACATTTATATTCTGCCCAACAGAGAACTCCATATGCCTATCTGAAAGACAAAATTAGAAATTCTTAGTGGCTGAATTGTGTGTTGTGGTTCAAAGGAACCGCAGATCTAGATGATCTCAAGGTCAATGTGTGAGATTGTGTCCATATTTACAGGGCACTGTTGCTCCAGACGGGCTTCAGGCACAGTAGCTTGTGATAAATGTGTGATCTTCTGTATTTAGAATCTTTGCAAAGACGTAATGTAAATACCACCCTTTTATTTGTTCAATTATGTGCACATTGCTTGCTTAAATGTATAAAAGTGATTAATTGTAAGCCTTTGTTGTTTGTTTTCACAATTATAACCATTACTATTATCCATATGTTGTAAAGCGCTTTAGAGTAATTTTACAAATTATACAGGGCGCTATATAAATGTTGTATATTATTATTATTATTATTATTATTTGTGTATTTACAGGGCACTGCTGCCCCAGACGGGCTTCAGGCCCAGGCCCTCTATCCATGGAAGGCTAAGAAGGATAACCACCTGTCCTTCAACAAAGGTGACATTATCACAGTAAAGGAGCAACAAGAAATGTGGTGGTCTGGAGAGCTCAATGGACAGGTGAGTGGGGTTATACAATCAACATGTTTGAAATGGGAACTTTATCTGATAAGAAAGTACTGAATAAGAAAAAATAGAATATATATATTTTCTATGTTGTGTAGTGTCATCTTTGCTGTAGTTACAAAGGTTTGAGCTTAAATCCAAGGGTTTCTTAAAACACTACTACAGGTATAATGGTTTATGCTGAAGATTTTTTGCAAGATTTGTTTTTTCATGCCATGCGATTTCTCATCTAAACAGCTATGATACCTTCTGTTTAAATGAAAAGCCCTAGGTACCAATTTTGTTTATCTTGAATCATATTTTCTCAATAAGTTAGAGCAAATGTTTAATATATTATATTTGGTTTAAGGACAAACTGCTAAACTGTGGGAACAAATTTCAAATAAATTGTATTTGGTTCAAGGACAAACCGCTAACAGTGGGAACACATGTCAAATAATTTGTATTTGGTTCAAGGACAAACCGCTAACAGTGGAAACAAATGTCAAATAAATTGTATTTGGTTCAAGGACAAACCGCTAACAGTGGGAACAAATGTCAAATAATTTGTATTTGGTTCAAGGACAAACCGCTAACAGTGGAAACAAATGTCAAATAAATTGTATTTGGTTCAAGGACAAACCGCTAACAGTGGAAACAAATGTCAAATAAATTGTATTTGGTTCAAGGACAAACCGCTAACAGTGGGAACAAATGTCAAATAAATTGTATTTGGTTCAAGGACAAACCGCTAACAGTGGAAACAAATGTCAAATAAATTGTATTTGGTTCAAGGACAAACCGCTAACAGTGGGAACAAATGTCAAATAAATTGTATTTGGTTCAAGGACAAACCGCTAACAGTGGAAACAAATGTCAAATAAATTGTATTTGGTTCAAGGACAAACCGCTAACAGTGGGAACAAATGTCAAATAAATTGTATTTGGTTCAAGGACAAACCGCTAACAGTGGAAACAAATGTCAAATAAATTGTATTTGGTTCAAGGACAAACCGCTAACAGTGGGAACAAATGTCAAATAAATTGTATTTGGTTCAAGGACAAACCGCTAACAGTGGAAACAAATGTCAAATAAATTGTATTTGGTTCAAGGACAAACCGCTAACAGTGGGAACAAATGTCAAATAAATTGTATTTGGTTCAAGGACAAACTGCTAACAGTGGAAACAAATGTCAAATAAATTGTATTTGGTTCAAGGACAAACTGCTAACAGTGGAAACAAATGTCAAATAAATTGTATTTGGTTCAAGGACAAACTGCTAACAGTGGAAACAAATGTCAAATAAATTGTATTTGGTTCAAGGACAAACCGCTAACAGTGGAAACAAATGTCAAATAAATTGTTATTCAATTCCAATCATTTGCCATGTAAGCTGTATTTCTTTAACTTTCACAGGTTGGTTGGTTCCCAAAGTCCTATGTGAAGTTAAAAGGTGCTGCACTGGCTGGGTCTAACATAAGGTAAGGATGTCTGCTGACAAAAACAGGTGCTGTCTGCCTTAATTAGATCTTACCTGGCAGTTATCTGACCAAATAAAGTATAATATTTGCGATGGTGTTGTAGCTGTTGCCAATTTAAAATGTTAAAATTTATGTTAAGATCATGTAGGTTTAAAAACAGATTTTTTTTATCGTTCTGAATTTCAAAACATGGATATTAAAATCATATTCTGATATTTTCAAAAGGGATTTGAAAACTCCACTTTGAAAATGGCATGGTGACTATAAACTATTATGGCAGCATAGAATTGGAACTTCATAGCTATAGTGTTTTTAACTACCGGTATTTTAACTAGATTTATTTTTTCACGGTTATAGATAATCCACACATAAAACTTCATATAGAAATTTTTTTGGTGTGCGATGTTGCCACACATGTAAGGTCTGGTTTGGTTTTATTTTGTTTAAAGTGCTATTAACAGCTAAGGTCATTTAAGGATGTGCCTTCGTGTGTGTTGTGTATGCATGCATGTGTGCCGTAGACAGGGCTACACATGTAAGGAAATGTAACACTGTTTCTCTGCTTGTCAAGTTCCAGGTCCCAAACGCCCACCTTGGCTGCTGAAAACATTGATGGGGGAGGCAGTGCTAGGTCCACACCACAGCTATCTACCCCTGCTCCAGAAGGAGGTAGTTTGCTGTAAAAATAAAGTCCTTGGGGATGTTAATTTAAGGAAATATTATAAACAGCCTTTCCACCTGAATATGCATTTCGTAATTCCTTCTTGTTTTGGTGCTGAAGTTTACGTTAATCTAATTCAACCTAAGTTGAATTGTGACATTATTGAAATCTGTTTTGCTCTGCCAAGCAGCCTTGTTCATGAGAGAGTATTTCCAATTAAAGCCACAAAGCAAATAATTTTGAAATCAAATAGTTTATATTTATAACCCCGAAGATGATAGAGTCAAACCAATTCATATAACAGTTGGTATACAAGAAATATGCACAATCACATTGGGAATATGGAGTCAGATATCACTTTAAATGTTAATTGATAATGAAGTAAAATGCCCTTTGGCCCAAAATTGAAATTGTATTACTGAGACTTCAGGAGTTTAATATCAGAATTAGTCCAAAGAAACTTGATTTCACATTTGCATCTTTTTCAGAGAGTTTTGTTGCTATGTACAACTACAACTCGGCAGAACCCGGGGATTTGGCTTTTAACCAAGGTGACATGATCATGATAACCAAAACGGAAGGAGATTGGTGGACAGGCACGATTGGAGATAAAACTGGAGTGTTCCCAGCAAACTACGTCAAAAAGTCGGACGTCCAGGTTTGTAGAATACGACTGGCAATGGATTGTACTCTTGGTGTTTGTAGTATACTAAATATTAACGTAGTCCCAGTGTTGTGTACTAACGCTTGTTTAATTGGTTTAAATCCTGGTCACTTTGTGTTAGAGGTACTTAGTTGTTGTAATATTTCAAAAGATTGATAATCAAACATAATTTTAATTACCCCAAAAACATGTTTTTTGCAGTTCAACATCTGATGAAGGTTTTAGAAAACGTATTTGGAAAAATGTTAAGTACTAATCATAAACTTCATCATCCAAAGTTACCAGGTTTTGAAATGATTGGGAACAGAATGTAAAACAAGCTTTGACTGGATATACGCTCTGCTATATATTGCCTTGTAAAGACTAGTGATCTAATCTGTGTTTTGATGTGTTCATTCCTTTTCACACTTAACACATTTCTTATGACTTACAACTTCATGGTCATCTTAAAACTCTTCATGTTTTGAAGGTGTATTATTGTAAAAGATTTCATTCTCGGGCTAAATTGTGTTGAGAATTGAATCTTATTTTAAGTTTCAACTACAAAATACATTCCCAGGTCTTTAAAACTTAATTTTTTGGGGAAAAGTGTCTATTAAATGAATTGGCGAGAGATTATTCATTAATTAAAAAAATATCTTCAAAACTGTCTGATATTGATGATGCAGATATTCATAATTAAATATTATTTTACTTCAGGCAGAAAACTTTGTAGATGCTGTAGACTAGTTTCTATTCATTATTAGACAGATTTTTTCAATATATCACCTCAATGTTTGTAACTATTTTGCTTGTTTACTTATGCATGATTTGCTATTCAATGGAACTTCATTAATCCAGATTCAAACAAAATTCCTGAAACTTGATTTTCAATGCTGATCTCTTTGAAGAGGTAATTAGTGTTCCATTAATGAGAAAATTGTTTTTGGATAATTGTTGGTGCACCAAGGTATCTGGACTGATGAGGTTCCATCGATATGTCAGTTTGTACTTGGTTGGAGTGGCTTGTTGTATTGATGGTTGTATCTGCTATCTTTATCCTAGATTGCTTCTGACGGTTTGGCTGGTAACCTATTAAACTCTGAGTGTGTTTCCCCAGTACAGGCAGTACAAGAGAGTGCTGCAGCTGTATTTGACCAAAATCTGGGTACCAACACTTCATCACAGTCTCTTCAACCCGCGTTTGATATTTCAAATTCAATTAAAGAATTATCCACCAAAGAAATGTCTGAAAATGCTAGGGGATTAGATTTGAACTTTGACCCTTTTGGAGGAGATTCTAACAAAAAGCCAGGAGAGGCAACCTTTTCTGACCCTTTTGCAGGCGAATTGACCAAAACACCAGGACAATCGTCTTTTCCTGACCCTTTCGGAAGTGAAACCAGCAAAACACCTCGAGAGGCAGCCTTTCCTGACCCTTTTGGAGGTGAAACCAGCAAAACACCTGGAGAGGCAGCTTTTTCTGACCCTTTCGGGAGTGAAACCAGCAAAACACCTGGAGAGGCAGCCTTTTCTGACCCTTTCGGGAGTGAAAGTAGCAAAACTGCAGGACAGAAAACATTTCTTGACCCTTTTGGAGGTGAAACCAGCAAAACAACAGAACAGACTACATTTTCTGATTTTGATGCCTTCAATTTTGATGGTCTGTCATCTACAACTGATCTGACTGTAAGTCGGGACACGCCACCATCAAAACCTGACAAAGATGATGTTCCACCACCACTTCCTCCAGTCAGGAGGAAAAGATCGGGAGCAAAGCAAACCAAGCAGATGACAGGGGAGGGAAATCCTATTAGCAGTTCAGTGAATACTAATAATACATTGAAGAGTTCCTCAAGTCCTGCTCCAGTCTTTGGAGATTTCGGAAATGCCGATCCGTTTACTAATGAGAACAGTCTAAAGTTAGATCCTGAGGATAAAGTTGGCAGCCCCAAGAATGATGAACCATTGAAGGATGATCCATTCTCTAGCTTTAATGCTTCAGATCCCTTTGCACAAAGTCAGAAGAATTTTGGAACAGAAACTGATCCTTTTGCAGGAGCAGATCCCTTTGTAAATATAGGAAATAATGCTGAAACATTGTCTGGTCCATTTGCAGAAAGTCAAAATGATTCAACTGGTGGTCTTGCCACAGGAAAAGACCCATTTGGAGGAACAGACCCATTTGGAAATACAGGAAGTACTTACCTATTTGGAGATACTGGGATTACATGTGGGACAGAGATGCTGGGTGGTGGAAACAGTCAGAGTAAGTCAAATTCTGAAGATGTTGGAACGACAGCTGATCCATTTGGAGGTGGTGACCCCTTTGCTGGCCCAGAAAATAAACACATGACTGATGTCATAGCATTGGGAAGAAACCTTATGTCGCCCAACACTGACCAGGAAATAATAAACGCATTTGCTAACCTTCCAACAGAAAGTGCCACAAGTTTCAATTTGAATGTAAGTACATCACCAACTGATTCACAAAACAATTCCCATCACACCTTGAACCCAACAGCACAGTCCACTATTATCAGTCCTGGTAGTAACCTCACAGCGACAGTGGCCTACTACCTCACAGCGACAGTGGCCTTTCCAGCTGGTAATGTTGGCCAGCCGCATGTCACAGAAAGTCCAGAGCCTACTTATGAGGACATTTGTCCCCCTCCTCTTCCTTCTGTCAATAATATCCCTCCCAGACCACCAAAGCCACCACGACAGAATCAATCCAAGGCTGTACATTTTGAACCTGAGGCAATATATGAGGATTTGCCAAATGAATTCTGGACACAAGAACTGGGAAAAACAAAAGACCAAGCAGACAAAGAAAAGTTGGAATTGGGAAATTCAGGTGACAAGAAAGATTCCCCAGTAAGATTAGACACAGTTCTAGGTGAGACTACGGCCGATAATTTTGGTCAATTAACTGGTAAAGTTCAAGCATCACAGAAATCAGCAGGAACTGAACCACCATTTGGTGAAAATGCGTTGTCAAGTTCCACTCCCCAGCATTGTGTAGAGGACCCCTTTGGGGGAGGAGATTTCTGGGCTGCCACAGGTAACACTGAGCAGACATTGACCAAGACAGGGCTGGATGAAACTTACGACGATGCCTCCGTTGGTGGGTTTGTTGCTGACTTTGGGTCTATGACAACCTCCAGTTCTGAGGCTGAGGATATACCAGGACAATACGGAAATGTGCCGGCATTGTCATCTGAAAACACTGGTCAAAGTACTCCTGCTTCTACTTCACCACCCAAACCAAATTCTGGCAGTAATAATAAAAAAAAGGGTAAGAGCTGGGTAGATAAATACATAAAGAAAAGAAAATCATCTTCTACCACAAAGGAGGCAAAAGATGTGCCTGATTCAGGCCTCTATGAGGAACCAGTGAAAAATGCAGACAAAAACAAAAAAGCTGACCCTCTCACGGCATCAAAAAGCAAAACTCAACCCTTGGAAACAGAACAAATGGAATCAGATTTGTATGAAGAAATCAATGTGGCTCGGCCAACAACAGGAGTTCAGACATGGCCAGGAAATGGTGTAGTGTCCAGTATAGTTCCCGAGGTAGGAAACACTGTTTGAATGGCCCTGCACATTGACAGCTCGCATCATACCAGTTCCTCCTGTGCAGAAAATGACATGGTCCTGATACTATGGACAACTAATGAGAGTGTTATATAATTTTATGTACATGTCAAGATGTCTGTCACATTTTATGCGACACCAGACCCATACACACCCACAGTGTCTCGTATCAATATAAATATTTGCAACTCTCATCAAACTTGTAAACATTACATCAAATTTGAATTAATGCATCATTTTAAGCAAAAGGAGACTTTGTGATAAAACTTGGCCAGGACATGTCATTTAATACAAATGCAGCTCCACACCCTGCTTGACCTCTGACCTTACCACACTGGCTATAGTGTAAGGATGACCTCTCACTTAACACTTTAACCTTTCCAAATGTTCACCTGCACGGCTCATAGCAATGTTAGGGTTGGTGAAGGGCTTTCTTTGTAAATGTCCTCTTGGTTTACTGTAATGGTACTAACTTCTATCAGTCATTACAAGCTAACTCACTGTAACAGGAAAATCAACATGGAAGTAAAAGTGCAGGATTTGGAAACCAGGGTTTCGCTTACAATATTTTATCTCCGAGTGTTATGAATAATTTTGTTACTATTTCTATAAACAGATTGTAATACAGTGTGTAGAAATTTTTGTTTAATTACATAAAAAATGGAAAGTATTGGAACATTTTCTGTAAATTTATTGCTTTGTTGTTGCTGTCTGTGATATTCTTATTTCTTACATGAGAATCGGAAATTAAAGGTATTGTCAAGTGGACATGTTCACAATGTGGAAAAGGAAATTCTCTCTCAAGTTGTTTTTCAGCAATTAAAGAGACCAATCAAATGTTCACAATGGAATATCAGGATATTACAGTAATTAATAAGCTACTATGTTACAATGTTAATTATCTCATTACAACCCCAGGGGAAGCAGAGTGACCTTTGTAACATATACCATACTATGTTTGTTCTCAGTTGAAGAATCATGCATGTACAATTATGGTTGACGTAATTAACAATGGGAGTAACGCTTTGTTTGTATTATTTATTCAGCCAGCCCCAGCTTCTACGTCACAAAGTAAATCAGGTTCATTACCTTTAAAGAAACCAGGTGAGTACTACTTACCTGTAATATATATCAACTTTATAACAACATTAGAATACAGTTATCACCATAAGTCCCTTTTGGTAATTTATGAGGTCTTAGGTAATCTCAGTGTTTTACCCTGATGAACAGTGACTGACCCATACACAGGTCTAAATATAACTGTCTCATTTAATGAACATCAGTGGCACCCGCTTGATTCCTTGTAATACACGTATGTTTAGGACACTTTAATACAGAATTCTGAGTTTGAATTGATAATAATAATAATTTGAGGTTCTTATATACGGCTTTATACAACCTAGTTCGTAGATTGTCTCAAAGCAGTTCACAAATTATTATCCGTGGTTTTATAGGGCCTTTGCAACCAGCCAATAACTTTCTCAACTCCATGGGGAGCATACAGCCGGAGATGCCATTTCGGCGCTCACAGCTAGCATTCAACAGTTCTAGCACTGCCCAACCACATACTCATTTACAGCTGAGTAGACTGGAACGAGCAGAGTAAAGTATCTTGCTCAAAGATACAACACAGTGCAGTGCTGTGACGCGAACCCGCAACCCTTCGGGCATGAGCCTGGCGTCCTACCACTAGACTACTGCACCTCATTTATGCGTATTTTAATGTGGTTCTTGAAATTGCATTTTGCTAAAAGATGCAATATGTGTTTTGTAGGGATATGGTATAATATTGAAAAGGGAACAGAGGAGTCAACAGTATTGTGTTAAAACTATCTACTTATCTGACATGTACCTATGCAGGTTAAAGTTCCCTTGGTTTGCAGTAGAGTTGGTGACTTTATTCCTGATATATGTTGACTTTGTTATTACAGAAATAGCATCAGTGATAGCCACGTACACAGCCACCGGACCAGAACAACTCTCACTGCAACCCGGTCAACTCATACAGGTTCGCAAGAAAAGCCCCAGTGGCTGGTGGGAAGGCGAACTCCAGGTAACCATGGCAACAGGGGTTTTTTCTGATAAAAAGTTCCATACCTTGTTAGGTTTGTCTGTTCATAGAGTCATAACATGAAAAAAATCATCATCTTTAAGTTTTATTTTATACAAATGTTAAGTCAATTGACATGCATTTTTTGTGTTCCAGGCAAGAGGTCAGAAGCGTAAAATAGGTTGGTTTCCTGCTAACTACGTGAAATTGTTAGGAGCATCCAGCAAACCCTCCACACCTGACACTACTCTACAGGCTCAAAGCGGCTCCCCCTCCCCAGCATCCACGGTAAGTCTGATGCTGGAAAATGGTGGGAAACAATAACTGTGAAAGTAGCTCATTTTTAAGTGCCTGACCTATGGAACCAGAGACTGATTTTAGTTGGAATTCATGGGACTTAAAACTTTCATTTTCAGATTATCACAACTCTTGTATAGTATTCAGAGTTTGAATGTTTCGTTTGAATTATGATCAGATTTATACATCAAATATGATTTATTTTTTTTTTTTTTTTTTTTTTTTTTTTTTTTTTTTTTTTTTACAGATCAACAGAACTAATACTCCTACCATACCTCCACCTCAACTGGGCAGTCAACCGACACAGCCAGAGGTCAAGTACAGTAAGTCTCCCTCCATGTGGTATTTCATACTTCAATGTGATGTAGATCATCTAAATTATAGTTGGCATCTTTCAACTTGGATTTTTTTTTTATATGAATTAATTAGCTGAAATGAGTTAATGAGCTTACTGGGTTGAGATGTTTCCTAACTCTTTAACCTCAAGGAACTGTCCTCAAAACTGTTAATTCATTGTGCATATTAATTGAATCTTAGCGAGTTAAAATTTTCAATGATTTGGTTTATAGTTTAAAAATCCTTTAGAAAGACAGCATAANACACACACACACACACACACACACACACAAAAAATAAATAAATACATAAGAAAAAGTGATCTGTATCTGGTATGTTGATAACAGTTTTATGTATTGTGTTGTACGTACAGTTGACCAGGTGGTGGCCTTGTACCCCTACATAGCACAGAACGACGACGAGCTGACATTCCACAATGGATCTGTGATAAACGTCATCAGTAAGGACGACTCCAACTGGTGGTCGGGGGAATGTAACGGTCAGAGTGGCATGTTTCCTTCCAACTATGTTGATGCCCTCACCACCTCACCCCCACAGGAACCTACATGTAAGTAACAATCTGCCTCACCTTACACACAACAGGACTTCCCAACACTCGACTGTACACAATCAAATACACCAGATGACCACATATTTTAGATTGCAGTTTTTTTGCTCCTGTAAAATTTCACCCTTGGGGCTTTAAAATACTCCCCGGGTTGATATCACGATCAAATATATTGGGGACGGTGTATTGAAAAATAAATGTGAAATTTTCCTTGTTTTTGTTGTATTTACCTTTTCATTGATGGCAAAAGTGAAATAAGTAAAGAAAGTACTTTCCTTAATGAACAGTGTTGCATAAAAGTAAGGGTTTTGATTTTTAGGTGGACAACCATTTGAAACTATGACAATTAAAAAAATGTATGAATCAGTCTGAGGCGATTAACAAACTAGGAATACCAGTGAACAGAATTAGGCTAGTACATGTATAAACTACCTGACTTATTAAAATATTTAAAAGTTATTTAAATAGCTAACTAGCTAGTAGTAACCTAAATAGTCCTGCTCCTCCAATATTTCTGGGTTAAAGCTATTTGCATGTATTATTTTTATTTTTTTTTGGCTTGGCATGATTTGTAGATTAGGTGTGGGTTAACAGTTTAATGAGTGAACTCTCGCAAAAAAAAAGACATAGATGCTACTGAGGACACAAAGAACTTTATCTAATATGTGTGGAACTACTGTGTGAGGAGGAATGGACCAGTTATCACTTGTTGGAAACCGAAGTAGCTAAAGCACAACATTGAAATATTTTCAAAAATATTCAAATTTATCTTAAACTAAAGGAATTCAAAATGGTCATCTGGGCCTGTATACATGACATCGTTCTCATACTCAAGCATGGATTTTGTGCTCAAGCTTAATTTCTTGTTCCATCTATAAAATAATAATAAAACCTTATAATGTCATTAATTTGGGAAAAAGTTTAGGAAACTTAAAGCCAAAGTACTGTTTTCAATGTTTACATTTCACTTTTTGATGGTTTGACATGATTTAAGCGAGTTACAGGAAAGTTGGTTTGAGCACAAAATCCATGCCTGAGCATGATACCGGTTTCATGAGTACGAACCTAGAACACAAGAGACAAACAAAGAAAAAGAGATTAAAACAATTAAGGAAACTTTGTGGGATTTTTTTTTTCAATGTTTGACTTTTAAACTCATTAATCTATAGCTAATTGCTCATCCATGTGTAGTGACACCTTTTGAAATGATCACTTTGATGAGTTTTGAAATGGGCTCTCATGAATCAGGTAGTCACCATAATTTTCACTGTAATGAATTTGATGTACTGGTCTGGTGACTGCTGTTTGTGATGAAACACTTTAACATCCAGTTTGATGTGCTAATTATAACATAATCTTACTCTTTGCTTCAGGAAATACAATAGACCTGATATCAGTGGGTTGTTGTTGACACTCGGGACAGGTCAAGGGGTCAAAGGTCGAGGGCGGTTGTCATGGAAACTGGAAATGGCTGCAGATAGTTTGTCTGACTTCTGACTCACTACGTTTTACATAACAGCTCCTACATCTACTTTGATCAGACGCTAGAACGTTGTGATATTTTTGCTCACCTTAAATAGCTGCAGAATGAATGGAATGCAATAGAACAAGCCGATAGCATTGTACATGTCGACTTTTTCAACTACTGCTTATATTATCTAGACAAGTTTTGTAAATATCAGCCATTGATATATTTAATGATATTATATATTCTACTGCCTGCTGCCACATTTTCATAAAACAGCCACCACTCTCTCTCCCCCCCACCCCCATCC